GAGCCAACACGTGTGCCAATAATTCCTCATCATCATCGAGAGTCCAATCCTTTTTAACTTCAGTCTCTTCATCAGATGATTCATCCATAGCCGTGATAGAGTTGGGTGTAGGGGGTAATTCATCAATGGCAATGGATGAGTGACGTCGTTGCCTCTTTAATTGATGCTGATCCTCATCGCTAGGTGGTGTATTGAGTCGATCCAGTGGATAAATTTTAGGTGAATATGTGTTTGTTTTCTATGTTTTTTTACGTTATTCACGTGATGGGGAACAGGCCACAGGACACACTCCATATATGCATATATATATAATTTACCTGATCTGTTTTAGCGTTCAATAAAGCATTACGTACAATAGCTTGAGTGAAAAAGGGAGCCTCAATAGGGTTGCGAGGTCTTCCTCTCTTACGAGGCTTCACAGGCTCATTCTAACAAAGAATTAATAAAACTAAAAAAAAAGGGGTAAATTCTGACTCAGGCCGATTTACCTTTGAGATATCGTTATTTTTACGTTTATTGGTAGCTAAAGTAGGTCTATTAATTAGTTCACGTTCCAATACTGACATAGATGAGCTTACTTGGAGTGGTAGTCAATAAGGCATTAACGGACAATTTGGAGGCATGAGGGGAACCAAGTTTTTTAAAATTGTGGATGATGTTGTGGGTAACTGTCTTTGAAAGGCCAGCTAGTTCAGAGCATTGTCTTTCAGTCGCACCTGCTTGATGAGCTCCAATGACAAACCAGCAATCTTGTTCAGAAATTTGTTTCAAGGCCATAATATATAATAGTTAAAGGGTATATTTTAGAAAGAAAGAAAGAGAAATAAAGGAGAAAAGTATATTATAATCCCAGCCCCTTTTTTTCCTCTTGCACCAATTGCATTATAAAAATCGTTGAATATGATCACGAGATGACGTAATTTTTATCTCTGTTTGAAAAAATCTATTCAAATTATGCAAACTGAACCATGCATATTTTAAAATATTCATAGACTTGGAGTAGGCAACTAAGTTAGAAGACGTTGTCATAGTTATTCTGTGTTCTTTTTAAAAAATAAAATTAGCGGCGAATTATTGTCCTAGCTTACACAAATTCTACCGCCATCCGAAACAGGAAACTGTTGCTAGGACTGACAGAGTTGTATTTTCCGATATATATCCCTCAATTATAGTTGCCCCGCAGCTCTAAAATCACTCTGTTTCTCCATTAAATATGTCAGATTTTAAAACAAAAAAGCTCGTATGTGGCATAGTGTCATTAATACTATGCTTGGTATTTTTTATTTTGCAATTTACAAATAGCACACATTTTCCAAACATAGATGCTGGGTACAAAGTCTGTGAAAATGACACCAAAATTATTAGTGAACAAATGCCAACTTATAGTTACGATTCAAAGTGGAAGGCCAAAACTTATGCAACACCATCCAAGGACTTATTAGACGTTATAAAATCTAATGTTCTAACACATCAAGAGAGAATCACAAAGACTGATCCTATCAATAAAGAAAAGACCATCACAACTATCAACAAAGACGTTTTACTGACAACTGTAGTGAACAGTGGTATGATGAACTATACATTAAACTGGATAGAGGCATTGAAACGCACCGACCAAAATAAAAAATTTCTAGTCTTTGCCATTGATCAAGAGGTTGTAGATGTACTGACACACAAAGGATACGAGAAAAATGTTATCCTTGTACCGAAAGAATGGCTAAAAGTTCCTTTATCGTCAGATTTTACTCTATGGAAAAACGAGGATCATCGACCCATAACACATGCCAAAACCCTTATTGTTGAACGTCTCTTGTACATGAATATTATAGTTTGGTTTTCGGATGTGGATATAGTGATTTTGAGCCCTCATATATTGGATGCGATGCTTGTACAAATTACTGATAGACCTAACACGCATATGCTTTTCAGTCAGGAAGTAGAGCATCGAACAGTCAATTCCGGGTTCTATCTCATGAAACCTTCCAAAATTACAAAGCAATTCATGGCTAGAATCATAGAAGAGCAAGATGAACCGTCGAATGAATTTACACAACAAAAGATCATGAACAGAGTCTTGAAGGCCATGTTCCCTCGAGATTACGTCAAAAGTCCGTATCGCTTAATGGATTTGCTCTTGTATCCCAACGGTAAATACTTCTTTAAAATGGATTTACCTACCCGGCTTGGATTTAATCCATTGATGGTGCATGCAAATAATTCAACTGGCGATATAAAAGAAGCATCTCTTATTAAGGCCGGTTTGTGGTTTCTTGAATAAATGTTTTTTTATGTGCCCAAAAAGGAAATTGTTTATGTGCCCTCTTTTTGATTGTTATATAATTTTACACAGACTTTCAAGTTTGAAAGATTTCATTTTCTTTTTTCTTTTTTTCATTATCTTATTAAAATATTTATATATAAAAAGATGTATCAGAATACAAGACAGCAGAATACAGGAAGAAACAATGATTGGCGTAATAGCGAGTTGAAGCGTGTGACAAGTCCAATCCCGGATGAACAAGGAAATGTTCGTCCACAAAGTAAGTTTGCGCGCAGACCTTTGCCTTCCACAAGTGGTCAATCTGTGGCTGCGCTTCAGCAACATCATCAATGGTTAATGCAACAACAAGAAACAAAAATCAATAGCCGTGCTGTTTCTCCTATACCCACAAAACCATCGCCAAGAAGCAACGACAATTTAATGACAATGAAGCAATATACACTTCCTCACAACAGCCATGAAGATGTTGTTTATGAAGATGATGATCAAAATAATGATATTGACGGAGAGGATGTGGAGGAAGAACGCATGGTGGTGATTCAAGATATACGATCAAGATCCCCTAGTATAAATAGAGGTGATTATAAAGATTTCATATTTTTCTTTTTGAATTATTGTTAAATGTAAGAATAGGGTCCGGTGGATCCGTTATGTCAGGAACGCAGGCACCCACTTTTTACCACACGCCTTCTACATCACAAGAGTTTAAGGTAAAAAAGAAGTTATGTTTGTGTCATTTTGATTATTCTCCTAACTTTGCATTAATTAGATTGTGAGAGAAGGTTGGTTGTACAGAAAAAATGGTCTAATGGTAAGAACAAAATAAAGTTTAAATTTTGTTGTTTTCCTGTTACTAAATTGAGACTTTTTTTTTCCAAATATAGCAATGGAAGGCAGTATATGCCGTGGCTAAGCATGGAAACGCAGTAAAGCCAGGTGGTTTATACTTGTATAAAGATGTGAAGGTAGTAAATAAGATTAAAAAAGAAAAGAAAATCGTATGACTTATACTTATATGTAGTGTACAAATCATATCCAAACATATGATATGAGTGAAGTACTTGAAGTCTCGCCTCGAGCACAAGACTATAAGCAGGGCATCAAATGGGAGATTCGAATGCTTGTCAAGAGAGATGATGTTATGTTAGCTACTGATGATATGCTTTCGCGCAAGGACTGGGTTGATTCTTTGACTTCAATTATGGGAAAAGTCTCTATCGCTACACAAAATGAACTGACTTCTCGCATACAGTCTTCTGAACAGATGAATAAAAGTCTGCGTGATGTTGCTGAAGAGTTAGATACTGAGAACTCTCAACTGAAAGAACAAATCAATACGCTGAAAGAAACCATTTCGAAAAAGGACAGGTTTTACCAACAAGATTTACAAGCAAGGGAGTCCGAGTTGAAGGAAGGCTTTTCAAAACAAGAACGGGCATTCCAACAAGCCTTTGAAGCACGTGAAGAGGAGCTTAACAGCGAAATGGATCGTCAAAGACAAACTTTAGAGACCAAGTGCGAAATCTTTGAGCGTGAGGCATCTCAATGGAGAAACAAATACCACGAGCTTGAAAAGTCCAAGTTTAACGGAAACAATGAAATGAATGAAGTTCAACAAGGCAAAATTGAATCACTCCAAATTGAAGTTCGCAAATGGCGTAATCGTGTTGATGAATTAGAGCATCAACAAGATCAAATGTCATACAGAAAGAATGAAAATATCGGGTACAAGCCAAGAAGTACATCGGTCACATCTTATAACAGTGAAGGAAATACAGACGCCATCAAGGAAACAATGTCCGATGTCAAATTCAACTTGCAAGTCTTACGGGACCAAATCAAAAACTCTTCTGAGGGGCCTCTTTTGGATATCAAGACTAATGTAACTAAGCTTTGTGATAACTTGGAAGATGCAAAGTTAGGCTGGAACGAGCTTCAAAGTGATATTATCAAATTCCTAGAATCTGAAAAGGGTGATGCTGATGCCAAGGATGCTAATCAAAAGCACCTGTTTGAATTATTGCGTCATGATGTTACAGATTTACGTGAAGAACTGTTAGGTATTTCTGCGGATGATGATGATGATAAAAAGAAGGATTTGCCTTCTCTTACAGAAAAGTTTGACATCTTGATTGAAATGGTTGAAAACCTTCAAATCAGTCAATCACGTCTATCTTCTACTGTTCTTGAAAACGCTTCTGCCTCTTCTTCTGCTTCTTCGCTTTCCGATATGCCTAATACACCAAATAATGAGGAGGAGACTATCTTATTGAAAGCCGTAACTTCTCAGCAGCAGCAATTATCAGACTGGATTGAAGAATCAAGAGAGATTCACAACTCAACCCTTAGTACTATTGAATCGAATATGTTGCAAAATCGTAACCTTCCTTCTGGACCTACGGATATCGGCCGCCTTCATGACAAGATTACTAATACCATAGAAAATGCCATGAACGAGCTTTCTCGAAACCAACAAGATGGTCAAGAAGAACAAGGCAAAAACATCAAGGTCATTGCCAATTACTTGCAGCTCATTACAAACGACATTCAAAATTCGTCCATTCCTGATTTGGCGGCATTATCTCAACAATTGGAAGATGTGGTTGAAAGAATTGGGTCTACTGAAGAGCGTTTGTCGCTTCTAAATGGTGCTTCTTGGTCCTCAAACATGGAGTCTACAGGCGCGCCCTTGTCTGACGGTGACAAGTTGTCCCAGCTTCATAACTTTGTGAAAAACACGGAGCGTTTTATGGAGCGCTCACTTCGTATTTTGAGTCGCTATGGTGATAATCCTACTGGGATGGAAGAAACTATTCGTCGTGCTGTTAAAGGTGCCTCAAAGGCTCAGTTGGAGGAGCTTGCAATTATCCAAGAACAAAACAAGGGAGAGCGCGAGAATAGCGAAAAGAAGATGAAGAGATACGAAGAAAATGCTCGTAGTTATTTTGACAAGTCGATGGAAAAGATGCATACAGATCTTCATGAGTTTACAGGTGTCATGTATGAAATGTTGGAGGGTCTTGTAATCAAAGCTTTGGAACACAACCCTGGTGAAGAATCGTCATCTGATATTGGTCAGCAAAAGTCTATTTCCAACGTTATTGAACTTCATGGAAAGTTATCTGGATTAAACCAAGCGTTAAAGACAGAAATTACTCGACTTGAAGAGGAAAAGAAACAGCTTGAAATTGCTGTGAAGGACATGAAAAAAAAGAGTAAGGATTTGGAAAAAGAAATTGATTCGCAACACAAAGAATTGCGATCTATACAATCAGAATATGATCGTGTGTCAAGAGATGTCGCCAGATCTCGTCAAGATAGTGTTACCTCTTTAGCAAATGACTTGGAACCCCTTTTAATCCAAATCTCCAAATTAAAAAAGTTGGCCTGTGCCGAGAGCAGTGAAGATGATTATACTGAGATCAGTAATCGTGAGAAGAGGGTAAGTGCCATTGTAAATAAGATACTTTAAGCTTTATTTTACTAAAAACTTTTTACAGAATGGCAATAGAGCGAAATCCCCTTTACCAAGTCGTTATGATGATGAGCACGAAGAAGACATGAGTCGCAAGTTACGCTTTCCCTCACCTAATATGACGCGTCAACAAAATCGTAGAAACTCGTTCAATTCAGAAAGTAGTGAAAACACATTTAGTGGCAGTACAAGACAGTCGTATGATCAATCAAGCATCAAATCACCTTTAATTGGCAGTCGTGATAGACCCAGAGGAAAAAGTCCTCTTGCCGGTTACTTAGCGCGTAAACAATAACAACTTTAAACCTCTTTTAGTTAGATAACACACATGTATATTGTTTTCATTATTTTATTCCATCCCATTTCTATTATTATTTAAGTAAACTGTTTATTCCTTGTAACTATAGTAATTATTCACAATGATGATCCACCTTCTGAAGAGATATTCCAACGGGAAGTAACGAGATTAAATTTTCTTGTATACAGATCATCTTTCTTTGGTTACTTGACACACACCCCTTCCTCCTTCAAACCCATTAGACTAACCCTCATTCAATCAATAATATAGAACTTTCTTTTTAAAAGAAAAAGCTTAATATTTGCCACAAGTATGATGACGAAGACGGCTGTGAAATCTTTTTTTTTAAAGCGTCATTTCTCGGTTTATTTTAGGAGTATAAAAACACATGTGATACCAGAAAATTTGCTTCCATAAAATCATGGATGAAAACATAGCCTTTCATGCATCACGCGGGATACAAGAATGTTTTGATTACATACAAAACGAAAATAGTGAAAGTTTTAGTGTGATAATATATCCAGGAAATTTCTAAAGTCTGCATGCATAATCAATGACCCTGTTTAAAAACAAATGATTACGAAAACAAGAAAAAAGCAATTAAATCGTTTTCTGGTAACCAGGCCTTAAGGACTTTTAAAATAATTTATAAGGGAAGAGTTTTGCAGAAAAAAAACCATGAAGGTGATAGAATAAATTAAACCCTTTTTTTGAAACTTTGGAGTTTGTTTGTTTCGCATTTTAGAGTTAATGCTATTCAACTTGGATGCAAAGAGTGACAGCTAAAATAATAATAATAATCAAACGTATAAATTTACCCCCCTTTTTTTTCCCTTCTCGTGATTTCTTTTGTCTATTTGTTTTAGATTCAATGCCATTTAGAAAAGAAAACAAGAATCCTTGTGGTGAGTCTGTGCTTTGATATACCAACGCTTAATAAAAAGTAACATATAAAATCATAGCTGTGGATAGTAAAAGACAAAGACAGCATCTAAATAATGGCTGCTCCGACAGCAACGATAGCTATTTTTTACCTCAGGACAAAATTAGTGTGAGTCAACAACCGGATTGTCAATTTGACACTTTTTTTTTTCCTGTTGTGCCTGAGCAAGAATCTATGTCTTTGCCTCTAGGCTGGAAAATTACTGGCCGTAAGAGATCTATATTCGAACTAGAGACCAATATCCATACACTTGGTGAATTGTATACTACGCTTGTTGATCTAAGAAACCAGGTAGCACCACAAGAGTCAGAAGAGCAACCACCACTTACGACAAGACGATCATCCTCTTTTTCAGCTTCAGATACATATGGTGGATTATCAAGATCATCATCTAATTTTAGCATGTCTACACCATCGTCGAACGAGGAAGACAACATCTACTATAATCTGATCACCGTATACCCCGAGTTCATTTTCGAGCTGCTTCTCCAGCTTTACTCGACTGATTTTTGCGATAAAAAGAATCTGGTGGAATTATTCCATCTAGGAAAGCTTAACAAATCTTATGCTAGTGCTATTTTTGCCTATAGTGCTTTACATGCGTCCCTTTGCCACCCAGAAAAATATGGCATCTATTCATTTCTAAACAATTTGGCGTATGATTCTTACTATTCGGCACACGAACTAATCGAATTTGACGATATCTCTCTCACCACCATTGAAACGCTTGTAATTATGTATCGTTATCTTTATTTAATGGGAAGGGAAGCTGAAGCACGGAATTTGTTTTGTTTGGCTTGGAGACATATGCAAGTGATTTCAGACGGCGATCATAGTTCTACCATCAATCGACTTGTGCTATCCATGGCAGAGCTTGACTGGACTTTTTCTATCTCGAAATCGTGTGACCCCATTATTCGATACGAGCAGGTGAAAAAAATCTCAGCCATTTGTAGGTCAGATAAATTGGAGGATACAGCGTTAAAGTTTCGAATCAGGGGACTCAATATGATCTTACAACGTGAGCAGCTAAATGGATGGCGGACCAAATATTTACAAATGTTCTTGTACAAAAGAAATCCCAGAGATATTTATAGCAGGGAGGATAAATTGGCTCTTCATCTCCATGCGCTTTATTTCTCGGGAATGCTTGAATATCATCAGTATCAAATGATGACTGCGTTTGAAACATCACATGTAAACGAGCCTTGGACGGATTATTTTTCATCGACCACGACACAGACAAAGACGCATGTGGAAAAGAATTTATACAGTTGTATGAATGCTGCTTATGGGTTTATACAGGTAATCAAGCTATTCCTAGATGAAGACGATACATGTCAACTGCCTCAGATGACGGATACCTTATCCGCCGCCTGTACAGTACTCTATTTTGGTAACAAGGTCATCCGACCTCATAAATCACCACAAGAAGCACTTTTATTTATAGTCGGTGCTTTTTCTACTTCGAGTATGATGCAGTGCCCTCGCGTGGAGCGATTTGTCAAAACCTGGACGCCGCTTATAAAATCATCATAAAAAAGTTTTTTTTTTATTTGAATAAAAGTATAATTACGATACAGGAATAATCTGACCTTCTTCTTCTTCCATTCCTGTTGTGTGTTCCATCGTTTGAGAGAGAGTGAGAGCAGAGACAGAATCTTGTAGAAGTAAAGTGATATATTTAAACTGGGGAACTAAAGGGGCACTTTTACGGACGGTAGCACGAATTAAGTCTAAAAGCATCCTAAGTCTAGATTGAGTTTCTTGTAACCAGAGTTTCCATTGATAATAAAACGCCGGTCGCTTGTTTTTTGTGGCCGTATTGATAATGGCCAAGTTTGCATTAGAGTTTCTCAAGATGATCTTGAAACCACCTAGCGTTGTGAAGGAGACATCTGAAGGCCGTGTCATGAAGAAGGATGTGATATGATGATAAGTGAGATCTTCCAAATCTTTTAGTGTGAACAAGTCAGTCTGGATCAATGCACACAGGAATTGGATGAATAGTTGAAATTCCTGATTGTCAGCTTGTGGTTTCTTCTGACCAATCATGGGCGCATCATGACTGTAAGAAGAGAGGTTTGTATGATATGTATGATATTTACGTTTGATGAGATCTAATATTCGATGGAGATGAAAGTTCAATAGACGGTGGTGAATCTCATTTGCTTCTTCGGTATCAAACAATGAACTTACGGTCTGAGCCAAGGTTGCCAAGAAGTCCACCATTAATACGCCAGTTGATTTGATGGCATAGATATCCACCAATTTGTTACATTCGGGTTGCTGCTGCTGCATAGATGTGATAATATCCTCTAGATTTTCTCCACATTTAACATTTTCCTTCAATTCCAATCTCAGTTTGAGCGTCGGATCATAGACAAAATGGTCTAGTAGTAGTCCCAAAGTCTTGTCCAGTAAGAAATCCAGTGAAACGGATCGTTCTTTTTTGTTTGGTATACGATCAAAAATAGCAATAGCCATGTGGTTTGCGACAGACTGTAAGACGGCCGGCTGAATAGCCTGATTCTGAATCCCATGTCGACCGAGAAAGGCGACAGCGGCATGGACCAAATGACCAAACGGATTAATAATGCGTGGTTGAATGAGATCAATATTGTAATGTTGCTTTAATATTTGATATGCTAAGAGTCGACATTGACGCGAGCAAGTACCCAAGTACCAGACATCACTGAATTCGACATATTCGGCAATCTTTAACACAAGTTCAAAAGGTAATCGGCAAAAGTTGTCATTCGACATTGATATAAGCTTTCTTATTGTATTTTTAATTTTTCCTTCTTTTTTTGTTCTTTACAAATATAGAAGAGGAGATTGTTCTTAAACCGGATCTTTTTATAAGGACTGGGGAAACATGTTTTTTCATTGGCTGGATCATTCGTTGCATTATGAGGTTCCCAACCGAACAAAAGAGCAATTTTTGTGGTATTCCGTGACATGTGTACTGTTACCAATGTATTGCATCTAATATGGGGCAAAAGCGAGCCGTTTTGAATTCATTTTTACTGCTTTTTATATTTATGTCAGCACAAATTAAAGAAAAGACCCGATGATTATTGATTCTAGACAACTTTTTTTTTTTAATCACATTAGATCATTATAAACTCCTCCGATGAGGCCCCTTCCTCTTTCTTTAACGCAGCCGCTAGGCTCTTTTTTTTTTTCATGCAAGGATGACAGTATCTACTTTTTTTTAGTTGACGTCTTTCGCGACTTTTTTAATTCATCAGTTCGTTTTAATTTGAAGCAGATTTTGGGAGTTAAATAAAGCACATTCCATGCAAAGAAGATGACAACGTACACAAATACCTAGTTCAAAAGAACAAAACAATAAAACACACAATTCAGCACGATGCCTTTACATGACATATAGATAACATATCGTTTTTTCATCAGCGTAATTGGTTTTTTTGTAAACGCTCACCCTCCTCCTCCCCCTCCTCTCCCAGGTCTCCGCGTTTTTTCGTTATCGTGACCAGTTTCTGTTTTTGAAATTCATTAATGGTACAGTGTCTTAGCATATTCATCTTGTCTAGAACATTGATCATAACAAAGCTCATTTGATTTATCAATACCGTTGCTTCTGTATACATGTGGCGAGAGGAGCATATGATAATAACCTTATTGTTTGTAATAGCTTCCTTTTTTAGACGTAAGGGTAGAAAAAGGAGTCTTTTTTTTTTCAATTTAAATCAAGATGATAGAGTCTGTATCAAATAGTATCCAATGTCTGTCTTTTTTAGTTTTGTCACATGATTCAGGTAGTTGTACCATTATACATTGCAATTCGTTGGTTACGCAAACAAGCAAAAATTTCTTTTGGCGACATAAGATACCATTTCTCTATGTTGTTTAAGACATTTTAAATGCCTGTCTGATAATAAAAAAAAGATATAACTGGCCTTGTTAATGTGTGCTTTCTGCGGGACATTTTGCAGTCGTTCAGGGTGACAGTTCTTAGTTGAATCTCACTATAGCCCATTGCCAATCTATCGAAGGCACTGTATCTTACCAAGTGGTTCCTGACAATAGCTTAATAAAGTAACTTGTCAAATACAATTGATGCCCTACGCGAAGTCCAGTTTTTGATGGTATAAGATTAACTCTGGGTGGAATTAGTTTGGTTAAGGAATATCCTGCCCGCCAAGTTTTTAAATGGCCATTACTTTCTTTGTGCTTGTATTTCGCGATCAATACATAAATCATGTCTTTACATGGATAAGAGCACGTCGGAATCGTTCGGAACTAATTAAACAGTCATTGCTCCCCATACAATGTTTATTGTTAACCTTTTTTCCGTCAAAAGATAGTTTAGCCGAAAAAAACAAGTATCCTTTGTTGTATTGAGTTATATGAAACAAGCATTAAATATTTATTAGATAAGAGGACGCTTTATAAAACACAAAAAATTAGATAGAGTATATATAAAGAAAAAACAGTATTAAGCCACACATGAGTTGGGGGTACGCGTGGGAATTATTTAGTAAGGTTGTGGAATAAAAGGAGGCGGTGAGAGGATGGCGAATGGATCATCTACTAGGGCGGTAGGACCACAAGCATTTAGCACATCTTGAGTCATGGCTCCGACTAAATTTCTAGTCATTTCAAAATCATAAAGATAAGCCTTGGACAATTTACTGATATTGACAGACTGTTGGAGACATCGTCTGGCGAATTCTGAGTATTGATTGTCGTTGTAGTTGATGAGTTTGATGTAAATCATATTGGCAAAAAGGAACCCGAGTAATGGGATATTGCATTCATCGTGATGTTTGACCATGATATCCAGTGTTTGGGTGATTGCGTAGGCAGCGTCAATACAGGTGTATAGGCATTTCAGAGAGAAGGGCGAGGTAGGTACGTGATCTGGAGGGATAAATGCTTGATACAACAATATTTTGTTGATATTATAATACACATGAACACCCAATACACAAAATCTCGCAAATTCATGAATATCTACATGATAGTATGAATTTTCTTCTTGTACAAGGTCAAAACTGTTACTGATACAACAAGCTTCAGGCGCAAAAGAAGCCATCTGATCTAACGCAATCGATTCAATATCGGGATTTTTCCATTCGGCAGGTAAACCATCATAAAATACTTGGAGTTTATCTTGCATCACGAGTAAATCTTTGGATAAGGTTGTATCTAGTTTCCCCGCTGCCTGTGATGTTAATAGTCTACTCATACATTCTTGACGAAGTACTTGGAGCTGAATCATGCAGTACCATTCTGTATAGATATAATGTTCAATCATTTCCTGTGGTGGACCAGCTAAATCGATGTCCATAAAGAAATCCATGATAGGTTTCGGCTGTGGTGGAGGTAACGGAGAGCTAGGGTGTAATTGTTCTAGTTCTGCTGGTGACGTATTTGAGCTACCTTGAAGCACACGATACCAAGTATTATAGTAATATAAACACCAGACGAGGATACTTTCTTTTGTATTTAATTCACGTCCTTCGTCATATAATCCCATTTCCTGTGCCATGGTGAAGCAAATCCATTCATAGACAAAATTCACGCCATTGTGTCCGTTTTGATGGTTACAATAAGATAATAAGAAGACAGCTTGGCAATTATCGATAGTTGGTGTATCGAAACAATCGGCTAATTCTTCGCGTCCTTTGATGCAATAGGCCATGGAGAGAGCTTTGCCCATATTGTACTGTGGAGTGTCATGGGCAGGACGTTTACTCCAGACATGCATTTGAAATGCATTTCTAGCTGCCATAGCGCATACTGCATATATGAGTACGTCTGAAGGTTTCTTTGCGGGATCTGGATGATGGTACCTTATTAAGAAATCGGTTGTATCGATAATGGGCAGACGAATAGCAGAACAACAAGGCGTTCTACAGTACAAATCTACGAGACTGTCTGTTAATTCTGGAGAGATATCTACGGGATAATCGTCTGGCAAGACACTTGAGGTTTGAGGTACTGCATTCCAGACACCAAAGGAGAAGCCTGAGGAGGTATGAATGGAGCTTGTATCGTGATCTTCCATTTGAAGTTTCTCGTCTTCCATGACCTGTTCGGCATCACGGGGAGAGATATGCATCGTGCGCTTAAACTGGTCCACTAATTTGGACAAATCGTTGAATGAATTTACGTTGCTTTCGACCAAGAGGCCTTTATGAGTTGTAGTGATTTTCCAAGCACATGGTTGAAGCAAAGGTGTCTTCTTGAAGGATTGGTCGACTCTTTGACCAAAATCTCGGGTCTTTTGGGCAAAATCCTTTGCCATTTTATCTATGGATTCTTGCCATTGATCCATTACTTTATTCATGGTGTTGAGTACTTGAGAAACATGATTTGCCTTGGGTTCAGTCTTGAGGTAGACACATTGAAAATCGCTACCAGCACAACGACTACAACTGGGAAGAGTTAAATCACATTGCTGAAGGTCTTTATAACATTTACTACAAGGATAGACCGAAAAGGAACTTGTGGAAGCTACTTGGTTACAATTACTACTTGTGGTGGATGCAGCATCATCATCATCATCGTCGTCGTCATCGTTATTGATATCATGGTCGTCGTCTTTATTGTTGTTGGTGTGATCATTTACATGTTCTGAATGTATGGAGGAGGCGTCTTCTGGAGGTAAATAAAAAATGGCGGGAGCAACAGAGGATCGAGGCTGTGCGAGTCTTTGTAATGAGATGACTTTATGTTTGTTGTTTGTGGGCAAGGTCTCTCCTGTCTTTAAAAGTTCTCCGAATTTTTTGATTCGATCACCTAAAGTCTCGGTTGCCTTTTGGAGTTTCTTTAAGGTAGGTGCCGCTTCGGGGTAAGTACAAGTGATGCCTCTTCTTTTACAACGTGTACAAGCTGGTTTGGTTCTATCGCAGGCATGTCTAATAATGATAATAATAAAAGGTATAAGTATATTATTTGCCCCTTTCTTTTTGTTTTTAAAAAGAATCTTGAATGGGTCATTTGCCTGAATCCTCGACATCGATAACATGCTGCACCCAAAGTGTTATGATTCAATGCTGCATTCTCTGGTACATCAGACATAAATAGTTATTTTTATTTCAGAAAGTCTGTGTGTGGATAATATTTTCGCGATAATAATAAGGGACCTTGTACCTTAAACAGTCTCTACCAACAACAACAAAAAAAAAAAAAAAAAAAAAAAAAAGGAAAGGGATGGGATATGAAAGGAAGGGATAGAAAAAAATATATAAATTAGTTTTTTTTTTTTTTGTGTTTAGTTTTACTCAATTGTCAAAAATAGAGCCGCTTTAAAAAAATATAGCTATAAAAACAAGAGGTCTGAACCCCACCAACTCTTTTCTTCTTTGTGTGTGTGTGTGTGTGTGTGTGTGCATTTGACCATTTTCCCTTTTTATTTTATATAGAATACAGTTTAATTTGTTTGTGTTCAAGATTAGTTATTGGGCGGACTTAGTGTACTTGGCATCTATACAAACATGGTAGAAAAAAACCTGCATCTAACACCGGCTCGTATTTAGCAAAAAAAAAAACATTTACCCGCATAAGCAAAAAAAAAAGACGATTTTTATTTATCAGATTACAGCATCAAGCTATAAATATATATATATATATATGGGTCAACCACAGAACAAAAGAAAAAAAAGTATTTAACAGAAGGTAACAGTATAAGCATTGGATCTACACATGAAGGCACTGGAATAGTCATCAAAAGCATAACTGTAAACATCGGGGCACGCTGCCTTTACATCAGAAGCATAAGAATAGGTTTTGCAAACATTGGGGTCTAAGTAGTCACCAGTGCAGCAGTATTCATCTGTATTGTAGAAGGTACAGGCACTCTTGCAACCCGAAACATTGCCTTCATCATCGTGGGTGATAAATTGGGTAGGACAGTCAGGCAAGACTGAGCAAGAGGTGGTAGCACACAAGCGTTCATCTCCATATTGGAGGTCTACCTTGGAAACAGGTTCGATCACCATGGGCACGTTGAATCCATCCACGAAGGAAATGTCATAAAATACGTCACCGTTTTCTTTAAAGAAGAATTCGGCAAGAGAAGCAGGTGACCCCATACCGGATTTAAAACAGTCTTGACCAGAGCAACTTTCTCTTCCCCAGACACGACCAGTCCAGTTAATAGGCATGGTCAAGGTATGGCTTGTACCAGCGGGTACATCCACTACATCACCAAAGTATTCGACATCGATCGAATGGCCTACTTTCAGCGTGGATTTGCATTGGTTCTTGACAATGACGGTGGGAGGTCCGGCAGCATAGGTTGAGTTAGTAGGTGCAGCTGCAACTAATCCAGCAGAAAGAAGAGCGATGATGGATGTGAAGAGCATGGAGTAAAAAAAAAGATGAAAGGTGAGGAAGGGAAAGGGATAGATAATTGCTATCAGCCCCTTTCAAGAACTATTTATACTAAACATTTCGACTTTATAAAACCTACCCAATGTTATTCACGAATACAATAAAAAAAAACTTTTTAATAGGGCAAATTTCAGAAAGAATAAAAAAATAAGGGTGAGCTCCTTACATTGTTTATTTAATATAACGAATGAGAAGTTTATAGTGTTTTTATTTTAGAAAACTTGAAACTTGAGCTTTTTACATTTTCCAAGCACTCCTAATTGATTAAATAACTTATCGCTGAAAGATGGGTCTGGCCCGTATGACAAAAAGTCATGCAAATTGGTTTGCCTACTCACTCAAAAAAAAAAAAAAAAAAAAAAAAAAAGATCGACATTTTCGATTCTATTTCAATTGGATAGGACTTTCACAAATATCTCTTTCATTTTTTTTTTTAATTGGTTATGATTGTTAGAAATACTAATCTTTTTATTTATTTTTTAATTGGCCATGATTGTTGAAAATCCATTGTTTTTTTCTTTTTTTTTTTTTTTTTTTTTTGCCAGGAACTTATTTTAAATTCCGGATATCTTTGTATTCATCTCGCGGATAGCATTGGTTTTCCATGGATTCGGATACGATAAATATCAGTATGTGTCGGATCGCCCCAATTAGACATAATTTCCAACCGAACTTTTCGAAAATAAAATGCATCTTGATTAGCGATTGGGAAAGTCTGGATACTGGGACCTTGAACATCGTATTGAACTTGACCAATCCACCGCCAGTGGTCTGTGAATAAACTGCCGTACACTAGTATATCTTTAGGTGCATTCTTCATCGATAAGATGACTTGCATGGATGGATATTCGATGGTCATGCTATCAATTTGAACAATTTCAGAAAGCCGAATGGTGATGCTACCGCTGCTTCCTCTCATAGACCAACATTTTCCAACGTAACGGCCTGGTTGGATCACGGCTTGGACTTGATTTTTGTGGAAAAGCTGCTGCAGCGGAGAACGACCATAACCGGGACTATGATCGATAATTTGGCCGCCGCGAGACATGAAGGCAAAGTCAGCCCTATTCAAATCATCCTGATGATATGTTGTGATCGCCTTATCGATGGATTTTCGAACGTTTTCCATGTCGATGGTAATGACCTGGTGTAAAGCCTTTGCCAATTGAGGTCCAGTTAATGATTCCAGAAAACGTTGTATTTCGTTCATGATGCGCTCGTTCTGTAGTAAGAAAACGAGTCGAGGAGATAAAATGATTTTGCCATCTCTGAATTCCACTAGGACTGAGTCTAAAAGCGATTTTCTCACTGTGTCTTTGATTTTCTGTTCTACAGACCCATTCAGAGATTTTAAAAAACGTTCAGACACACTACTTGTTGTATTCCACGTGTGAACATGATCCAATTTCGTTTGTAAGGCCTCGATGTTTGCTTGTACTCTTCGAGCGACCCTTTCCATGTGGACTTGTGTCTGATGGATACGGTCCCAAAGACGTTTTTGCTCTGCTAAATTTTTCCAGATAGGTTGGCTTTTGATGGGATGGCTGGAAGGTGTTAAATAAGGTTTAGGTAACAGGAGGAGGAAGAATATGAATAGTAGGAAGATCCTTAGACACCACTTTGCACATGTTACACGAAATGTGGGTGTAGGAATATGAAAAAAAGCAAAAAAAAGAGCACCGATATCGAAAAAGAAGAGTACACACTTCTTGCTACAGTCAAAAATTATCCACTTGACCATGTTGAGTGTTCGATGATGCATGCGTACCACCATGACTTCATTTCGTACAAAACAGGAAGCAAGATATTCTACCAGCCTGTGTTGCGTAATGTGGGTGTACACGTTATCTAGTTTTTTTAGTGCGTGATATGTAACTGCATAGTCGTCCACCATTTGTATTAAAAGTGGTGAAAAAAAAAAAGGATAGATCTATTGAAAAATTTATGTGTGTATATTTTTAGACATTGGGGGGAGGGGATAAAAAATAATAGAATCTATCAATGGGGGAGGACAGATGTTTACCCTTGCACAGTTATCGAGTTTTTTTTTCTTACAATGGGAAGTGCCCCAACCAAGTGCATGCAGTAAGATAGGCATGGTAACACCAATTAGGTAGCACGCACAAACTCTAATCCTAATAGAGACTAGCAGCAAGTTTAAAATATGTAAAAGAAAAAAAAACCAATGATGGGTTTTGCAACAACAACAAAAAAAATTATGTATTAAAAAAGAGGTAAAGAGTATGTACACATTAAGAGTATTTAGAACATGGTAATAGCATCACCAAAATTATATCCATCGACCAATACACGGACGTAATTATTGACATTGGATTCGTTTGCAGCAGTAGGAGCAGAACCGGGTGCGCCTTGATAATCATTGATTAAACTTTCTTCGTCAATGGTAACGATGCCTTTGCCCTTGGCGTTACGGACCACAGCAGCACCTCGACTGCTACCTTGAATATCCAAAGAGTTTAATTCCTTGATTTCCTTTTGCGCAATGCCAATATCGTCTTCAGGGATCCAGATAGTGGGGTTGGATACGTAAGTAGAAGGATGCATATAGGATTCAGAAGCATACAAAGATTTAGCGGTAGCAATAATATTCGCGCTATCTTTTGTAATTTCTTCTTTACTACGGTTCTCTTCTTCCCGGAGTCGAGTTAATAACTCATCACGAGCGCGATAGGCTTCATAACTGATGGGTGCGCGCTCGACCAGGACTTCACTGACACGATCGGAGGAACTGTCTGAGGCATAGCCAGATTTTTGTGCTTCTTTTTGGAAATTGTCGTCGTGGTGCACATCATCGGGTGTGATGGCATCGGTCTTTTTGGGATCAGGCACATCCTCATCCTCAAAGATGGAGACGGGCAAGTACTTGAAAAGAGGCTTGAAAGCACGATCATAATAATAAAGCGCAAAGGCGGTACAGACTAAAGTCACAATCATCAAGGCCATTTGACCACGCGCACCCGTTCGAATGGCGAAAAGACCAATCAGAGTCAATTGAGAGATGAACAGACCGATATAGACATGACGGATAGCTCTGGGGAAAGCACGACCAGCGGTCTCGAAGGGAATTTCGTAAACATAAAGGAACTGATAAAGGTAGACAAAGTATTGGAGCACAAAGAACAAGCAGACAAAGGGCAGGATCAAAGGAGCAATGACACCATATTCAAGACCGAGGACAAAGATGATGGTTTGAGCAGGAATCAACGTACCCAAATTGACGTTGGGACATGTCCTCTTTTGGTTGTAAATATCACGAGGCGTGGTGGCAAACATAGGCATGATGTAGGACAAAATATAAGGAACCAACTGAAGCATGGCCTGGCCTGATTGATTGGTCGACTGGAGCATCACAAATGTAATAAAGAAAGTGGAGGCCTTGGGCAAGTTCTCGGAGAGGGTATTAATAATACCAAATGGGTTAGAGGCGATATTTTTGAGTTGTTCAATCATGGCCAAGAGACCACCAGAAAGGGTAGAGACCAATACAACATCAATCAATTGGAAAAAGAAAAACTTGTGAAGAACGGACAGCTGAACAAAGGATCTCTGAGGAATACCTTCCTTTGTCGAAAGAATCGTAAAGATGACGGGTACCAGAGAAATCAAGATGGATAAAGCAACAGCGGGCAAAATACCTTGAATGATACCGACCACTTGTGGGCCTAATTTATTGATGACCGAAAGGAATGGTAAGACCTTGGCCAATTCATTAATATTTGCTACAGCTTGGACAAAGACGACGGGTACAGCCCAGAAGATGATGATGACCGTGGTGATAGAGATGCTGACGAATCGACGAAGCATTCTTTCGTAAGACTTGATATTCATGTTCTCCCAAATGATATCAGATGGTGCGATTTGAATATAACGAGGAGCCATTTGCATGGATTCTTTGTGCATCAAAGATTGTGCAGCCATATGTGCAGCCACTTGTTGATTAAATTCAATAAATGCAGAATTGACTTGTGTGAAACTGGAAGCATCGTGTTGCTTTTCACCGATACTGTGGTTAAGTTCTTTGATCTGGTTATGATAAAATTCGATACTGTCTACTTTACGGCCAAAACAGGGCAAAGGTATAACAGAATCACGATGTTTGGGGCGAATAGCGTCAGGAATATCGGATTCGTTTAAAGCTTCTTCGTCGACCTTGTTTGATAATTTCATGTTGTGTTTGTATGTAGCTAAAATGGCTTTTGTGACGGTGGACTCTAAACTTAAAGCTGCCTTTTCACGCTTCTCTACAAGTTCAGGGAGATCGTGTAATTGTCTACAAATTAAAAAAATTAATACGAGGCCAGGGGGTGTAGATTGATTGATCTATTGTTTACCTGTTTAACCAAATACGACGAATACCACCTGGAAATCGATTAAAGATTTTTTCAAGATCCTCAACATTATTGATATTTGCGGGAATGGATGGAACGTAAATGGTACGGGCAGCGACGGTATCTGCATAATCAGGACTAAGAAGAAACTTTCTTCTGAGGACGATGTAAATCTTGGTCTCTCTGAAGGTATAATACCAGACCAAGCATGATAAAATGACAGCTAATAAACAATGTGCCCATGTACGACTATCGTCTGTAACATTACCCATTGTCAAATAGGTTAGACCAGGCAGAGAATTTTGACCGATGATGTTGATTGGGAATAAGATGGGGATTGCCACCAGGGAATAGATCGAAAAGGTCACCATGCCCATACGGAGAAACTTGAGGACCATGAATCTATCAAGACCCATTGTTTTGATTAAATCCTCATCTGATATTTTGAATAGTGCTAATATCCACCGCCCAAACCCTTTTGGAATAGGAGGCGGTCGCTTCCTGATCCGAAATAAAAACTAATTAGTCTCAAAATGATCAAATAAGGCAACAGGGCAAAATAACACTTACTCTTTTGCTACTGCATAAGTTCTAGGAGCGTATGTTTGAGGTCGGGTTGTTCTCAATACGACAAAGGCGCCAAAGAATCCAGCTGCCAAAGCAGCATTGAACCATAAGGCGGAAGTGAACGTATGAGTGGAACTATCCATGCTATTGACAAACAAACAAAAAAAATTAACATGTCGCATTCGAGAAGAGATCAAGTTAAGTAGTTTTACCCTTGTTGGCTCTCTCTGGTTTCACTCATTGACTAAAATAAATAAAGCTTAAAAAAAAGAAATTCTATGATTTGAGGTTAAAAAAGTGAAAAGGAGAAGAAAGGTTAACAAAAAAAAAAAGTTTTCTTATATAAAAGAGGTAGGCAAAAAAAATGCAAGCATGTCTGTTCAAGTTCCGAAGTTTAGTGTTCGGTGTAACGTCAATTGAAAAGGGAAATCAAAAGAGAGGATTTGATTTAGTGCTTGTTTTGATAATATCTCCGTCATGATTGTGAAATGTGTATCACTTTTTTGGTTGTTGTGTGAGATTTTTTTTTTTTTTTTGGCTCTCCCTAGGAACCATTTTTCTATTCGCTCTCCTTTTGTATTTGTAGCAGTCGATCCCAAAGACAGGCGTAACGTGCTACATCTATCGGGTTTCTTCAAACAGTCGAAACCGATACCCTAACCCTGCTGATCTTTTTTTTTTACATGCTCGATCGCAGCCAAAAAGAATGAAAAAAAAAAAAAAGTGCCAAGTGGTACACAGACGCACATGTTTCATAGCTCAAAAATCCAAAAGTAACAAGTATGCCGGCTACCCAGATTTAACTAGCTAGGTTTTATTAATTCATATTTAGATGCCAGAGCTTCCCATTGTTCGTGCATTTCATCTTCTAATAATATTTTGGAATCCATACTAGCATGGGTAGTCTATTGATATTTATATATATTTGTTTAGTGTACATATTGGTTTGCATATATCAAATCTACTTTACCTTTATGGTTAAATAATCAATCTCTTCTTCATCTTCATCGTCGTCGTGACCATCATCTTCAATCATACTACATGATGTGTCACTGCCGATAGATATAGCAGGTGTCTCCCGTACTTTTAATTGGTCAACATCGCTAAACAGTTTACCGATCGATGGAATACTGCTTCTGTGTGATACCGGACGAGGTCTTCCTTCCTGTTTCCTTGTGTATTCAGTTGACTTGCGCTTTCTTTGATCTAAAATAGACATGTTGTTCCAAAATATACTTTCAAAGTCAATGGTGGTAGTAGCTGCTTTTGCTGTAGTGTAACGTGGGAAATGTGTCCTTGTGCATGTATGGAAACGGAACCCTTTCATGTCTTGTGCTTGTATCAGACACACAATCCAAGGACTTGTGTATGAATGGCTAAATAATCTATCGGTATCTAAAGTATCATCCACATACACTACTGCAGTATCATTCTACTAGGCATGTTAGTATATAATCTATATTAAAAAAAAATGGATATACATTTATACCTTGTATAAAACCTGTTTGTAGTTCTCCGGTTTATAGAGATTACAAAACGTAGGCACGCCATTCCATACCTTATAAAAAGTTCTATCTGCGAATTCTGGTATATTCAGGTATTTTAGATAGTGTCAGTCATTGAGGGTGCGGGGGAGGGGACATTGAAAAATCAAGGTATAAATATAAAAACTTACCACACTGTTTCACGAGCGCTTTTGTCTTTTGAAAAAGATCTTTAAACTGTTGAAGTTTATTTAGCATATTTGACTTTACGGAAAAAAGCCTCAGTCCTTTGGAAAAATATTTCTCAAACGATGTCATATTTGAAGTCTGTAATTTGGAAGCAGATAATATCAAGGAATCCTCCGTGAGACCGTTTACCAGAGACATACTTTCGATATCTGCCCAACCCTTGAACTTCAGTCCCTTTTCATTTTTACTCGAGGTGTTGGGGAAAGAAAATGTGCTTGTGGAAGATGGGCTGGTCAAAAGTTCATCCAGGATAATTTCTTTGGCATCTATACATGATTTACTAGCGACAAGTATTTTGTCTGTGAATAAAAAAAGTGAAACAGCTCGGGTCGGCTTGTTGGTGACACGATGAATTTCAGTGGCGTCAAGATGAGCTATCAGAGATCTCTTTTGATTAATTAATGAGCACTAGAAATAAAAAATAAAAAGGGTTATCATACATGCTTAAAGGTAAAAAAACAGATACATCACGTACGGGAGAATCCTTGATACTTTGATACAGGCTTAGAAACATGGTAGCTGTTCTTGTTTGATCATCATCCGCCATTGTAGCAATTTCCTTTGCCTTTTCACAGGCTTGATTTAAACCACGAAAATCGGAATGATCTTCCGGTGTTAATTGAAGGATATCTCTCAACATCATGGCATAGCGACTAATACGCTGCACTGGTTCTACCAAGATATCTTGCAGTCTTTTCCGCTTGAATTCTCTTTGTTCTCTGGCTTTTGAGATGAATCGTCTGTACACTTGGTTGATTTTAAATTCCTTGGCGTGTAATTTTTGCGCTTCGGATTGTTCCAGTAAATATTTTCTGTAGCATTCAAAATTTGCAATCTAGTGTAGTTTTTCAGTCTAACTTGATTTGCTAATAATGCTGAAAAAACTGCTACTTACGTGTTCTTTACATACAAGACCAAAGGCACGGTTACCTTGTTGTAAATCAGAAAGGAATTTTTGGTTGACGTCTAATATTTGATCGATATTTAAAAATATTTTGTGGCATTTAAAGGTATTTAGTATACAGTGTTTCTGTTGCATGGTTGACTTCAGAGGGTTCACAACATATCGAACCAATGTATTTAAGGTTTCAACATAAGATTTTTCGGTCTTGATAAATTCTTGGATGCGGAATTGACGTTTTTCGTCATTTTGCTCAAACTAAAAATGATATCATTATTATTACAGTCCGCCCCCATTTCTTCCTTGGGGGATGCTTACTTTTCGTTCATTTTTTTCAATGATGGTGTTTTCTTGGCGTCGAATACAGGTTTCCAAGGTATCGACATGCAATTCAGAGCCAATAATATTTAAAAACTGATCGAGTTGCATTTGTTCTTCTGTTTTTGAATATAAACATTTTTAGTCCTTCCCTTTTTTGGAGGTGCATTTGTTTTTAAAATTACTTTGTGTTCTCGTTTTTGCCGGTACAATTAAGTCAATGTTTTGACACTTGATTTTTAATAGAACAAGGTTAGCCCTTTTTTTTTAAAAAAAATCATATTTTCTTGCTGTTTATTACCTGTGAAGAGGTGGACTTTTGTTGAACTCTTTCAAAGAACTCTAATTGTGTATCTACTCGTTCTTCTAACACAATTTCCTTTTCTTTCGCTAGTTTCCAATTATAAGGGAATTCGGATTGAAGACTTGTTTGAAGTTCCTAAAAGTAGTACGTTAGTATTTTCCGGTTTTTTTTTTCAGGATAAACAAATCACAAACTTTGAAATATGTCATGAAAAAAATATAGAAAAAAAGAAAAAGAAAAGTATACGAAAAAGAAAGAAAAAAGAGAGAGAGGAATAGACGGGGGGAATATTTATTAAATGATGTTGTTATTGTTAAAGTCTCCAAAAATAGAGAAATGGTGTAACAAGGACCCACAAAAAAAATTCATTGTTTCGTCCACTTGTTGAATGTAAATTAAATGTTTGCACGATAGGCAACAAGAGCTGCAATACTATAATGACCTTGTTTCTTGTTTACTTTTGTATTTCTTATCACTTCTTCATCAAATAAGGCAATTTCATCATTTATTTTACTGGATTTTAAACTATGGGCTTCTTCTTGACCGTCAAATGTGGATGCGGATTTTCTATCATATTCTATACTACTGTGTGTATAATAAATGGATTCACTACCCGTCGAAAATCGAACGGATTTACCACTATCGCTAGTAGTACTCCCTTTACGTTGTTTACTTGAAAATGTGTGTCTAGCGGATTTAAATAACTTTGAAAAAGATGGCATGTGTTGTGTGGGAAAAAAAAGGGAAAAGGGGGAAACAACTGTACTTGGTATTTATATCAAGTCCCTAGTTACCTCTTTTTTTTTATCAAACAGTCCCATTACCATGTTTGGTTATGCGCACAGAGAATAAAATGCATAATTTAGTTAACCCAATCATATTTTGTTGATATCAGTTGCTTTGAAGAGCAACAAATATGTGGTATGACGTCTATACGCCTCATTTGCGCCTCTTATTTCTCTCTTGGTTCCATCAATCGAACAACCTTTCGTAGCAAGAAGGATTTTTGACAGAATTAATTTAGAGCTGCATGTGGCTGGTAGCCACGACTCTTATAGAACAGTAAAAAAGCAAAAGGAGGGTCGTAGTACTACACTATTAAATTAAAAAAAGAAAGAAATCAGGTCATAAAATTTGTGGGGTAAAAGTATAAAAAGAAGGAAAAACAGCAAAGCAAATAAAAAGATTGATTATAAATATTAGATGAAACACTCGATATTTTGCTCAATCAGTTGACAAATAATAGAGAACTTGCCGTTAGGAGTATGAAAGCTACTCTTGTTATATTTGAAAGAAAACTTTATAGCGTGCACTAAGAATTCACACACATATACAGCACAATGAAAATAAATCTGAAGTACTCTTCCCATCGCAACTACCTTGTCAACAACTTTTCGAAAACGAACTTTTGATTTGGGCAAGACTATAATGTAGCCACTTCATGTTTACTTGGAAATTAAAGTGTCCGCAGCAGTAATAAATGAGCAGTTACTGTCAAACGGTATGTTATTTGACAGACATTACTTGTATAATTAACTATGTCTGGTTTTATTTTGGTTTGTTTTTGTTCTAGAAACTGCAGAAGACAAAAATTTATACCCCGTTGACGGATACAACACCTTGCTTTATTTACAGCTATCTCTACCAAATCCTCTGCGTGTGTACACGATAAAAGGGACCTCCAGAACAACAAATACAACCTAAAAATAGTTACTCACCAAAAAAAAAGGCTTTCTTTTGTGTCCCTCCAATCATAAACTGTAGGGCGTCACGATAAATAATAGTTTGCTGCTGCTCACTGTCAAATTAGAAATTTGCCTCATCAACTTAAAAACGCATAGCATATTTCACAACCTTAATCAATTCAGAAGCTTTTCCAGTTAAATCACAGACACTGGACTTTATCACCTACTCTATAATGAAAATAATAGACAATAGGTCTTAGATAAATGGCTTTTATTTCAAAAGAGCACAATGCCGTTTTTCCGTGATAAACCCGCGTTGATGATAGAAATTGATCAGACACTGTCTACACAAAAGATAAAGTAAAGAAACTTGCAGTTCCGTAGTAAACTACAGTGAATGGTGTGTGGATGTATTGCTTAGATATCACGCGATATATCAAACAATGATCATAATAGTTGTATCAATAAGGTTCAATTCAATGCCAAGCCTTCATCTTATTTTAGCCATCTAAACCATTATTAGAATACTCTTATTGTAAAAACTACAAAAGCATCATGCTTTCTGTTTCCGCTGTGTAATGATCTTATCTCACGTAACTCCTTTCATTCAAACTTCAGCTTATTTTCAATCACTACAACTTTGGCTTCGTTGGAATCACTCAAACTTTTAGCTTGTTTATAATGACTCAAAAACACATATAATACTTATCCCAATGGCGATATTTGATGCAATTCGGAAATTTAAAAAGAATTTCTGTTAAATTCCCACTGTGTGGGTATATCTCCGTCAGTATAGGTGTTTTTTTTTCTTTCGGTCGTATGCAATTTTGCGCTTCCTATAGGTGCGAGGTCTTGTGAAAGAGAAAAAACAAAAAACCTTCCCGCGGGAATTTAATGCAGCCGCTTTTGTCACAATTTCCTGTAAATTTCCACCTGAAACAGAAACGCAAAATGTAAGTAACTATAGGACAATTCATAATTCTATTTAATGTCACCACATATTCTGCAATGAGCGAAAAAAAGGGGGTTGATTCAATGGTCAAATCAATAATGGCAACAACCGTTATTATCTGTTCCGTTTAAGGTTATTTCCAATTTAAGACCATCGTTTTTAATAAAGAAATGAGAATCCTCCCACAATGGGGTTGACCAAATTCGGCTCTATTCAAGTTGGTATGGTTTTCCTAAAACAATAACCATGACGATTAATTTATAAAATGACTAAAAGTTTGCTTCATATAACATCACTAGTCAACTAATAACTGTCTCGGTTGCTAATAACAATTGTTTATATATCTTTGCAAACGCCTTTTACAATTCGGCCTACAATGATACTTCTCATAGAACCGATGAAGTAGACGGTCATGTGGCTCTGAAAGTGCCAAGGACAATTTTGACAAATGTGACCAGTGCACTCTACTATTTTGTACCGTCTATTTTCGTGTTGCTGGACTTATATGTACATGTAATTTATAATTATACATGATACTTACTGTTAGTAAGAGTAGACTACGTGACAATGAAACGCAGGTATAAGTATCTACACTGATTACGTAATCTGATAGTCTCCATTGCAATTCAACCATCAAAAAGCAGTGTATGGATTTTTTTAAAAGCACATTCAAGTTGTAGCTTCAGATCAATTGCATCTTTAGCAAGTGTAAAGAAACAAAATTTTACAGCAAGTCGGTCGCGCAACAACTTTTTAATAAGACACGTTGGAATGGGTATCAAAGTGAGATTTGTGTAGCGTCTCTCAAAGCGTGCATCTACTTTTTCAAGATAGTAAACGTGAAGATATACCTCAAATACACGCACTGGGCAATGGTAGTTTGAGCCAACCTTTAGCCGTGTAGTATCCCAAAGATATTTTTTGGAATAACAGAGATCCATAATTAATAATATTGTGTAACGCGATTGTGAGAATCAGACGAAAGAAAGGGTATCGTTTGTGACCACTGCAATATATTTGTAACCTCTCATAATCCTCCAATTGGATGACGTTCATACGCCTCATTTCGCGCCTCTTTTTTTAAAGTACCGACGAAAAGTTTTTTTTTATCTTTTTTTTTTTCTGCGGCAAGGTGTATTTGACAGAAGGGGAAGAATAGATTAAGGTTGTGTGTGGCTGGTAGCCATAACTCTTAGAAGAGTAAGAAAAAAAAAAGGTAAAAGAAGATCGTACTACACTAGAATAATCATGTCATAAATGTGTGGGGTAAGTGTATATATAAGAAGGGAAAAAGAAATAAACAAAATTAAAAAAAAAAAGGGAAAAATATAAAAAAAAATTATAATAAGAATCTAGACCAAAATTTCAGTGTAATTTTAACTTATTGTTAATTAGTATTCATGGTACCAAGAAGGAGGAGTAAATAAAAGATAGTTGATGGTTACGTCCAAAAAAGAATCCATAAAAAGACATTTGGGTGAAATAGCCATAATGAGTTTTGCAAAGTCGGTTGCCTGAATTTGGAAATTTATATTGATGGATCGGGCAAAGAAGGGGAAACTCAATTTTTATTCTTGTACGCCGTCCACGTTTTCCGTTTTATTCCAATGTTATACGTTTCAAGTAAAAGATGTAATAAATGGGATAGATAGACGTGTATCTATGCTACATGTTAAATACTAGCTACATACAAGTATCCATGGATAAAAATAAAAAAACATACAAAAGGAAAGGATAAAGCACATCATGTGAATCGAATACTAAAAACTGGTATTTGTGTGACCTATCTGTTTAGAAATAAAAACTTGATTTTTTTTTTCTTTCTTCTTCTTGACTTTGTCTTTCTCTCTATCTCTCTATCTCTCATCCCATATACACTTGCATATATATATACACACATAGCAATGGAGTACTCTGCACATGAACTCTTCCCACAATTAGACATGGGACAACAATCTTACGGCGGTGTATTGTCGTCATCCATGAATTACACTGGTGACTACTACTATTATGGAGAACCAATTCTTGATCCTGTTTATCAAACATTTTATCAAACACCGTGCTACACGCCATTACTTGACCAACAGCTCATCAATTTCATGCCACAAGAAGAACTCTGTTATAACAAGATGACATTTCCTCAGCAACAACAACAACCACAACAGCAACAACAAGTACAACAAGAACAATTAGAAGTAATGACCATGATGAACAACAATTTGTTCCAAGAAAACTCGCCCTCAACAACATTTTCATCATTCTCCTCTGATAACGAAGAAGATGAAGAGGATCAAGATATAAGCAATAAAAACTCTCTATTCCACTGTGAATACAAGGGTTGCACAAAGACATTTACGCGCACTTATAACTTAAAATCACACCGTCGTACGCATACAGACGAAAAACCCTTTGTGTGTGATAGGTGTCCAAAATCATTTGCAAGACAGCATGATCGCAACAGACACGCTAAGCTTCATCTGGGTTTAAAGCCATATCCCTGCCAATTCTGCGACAAGTCCTTTGCGCGACAGGATGCGTTAAACAGACATCTGAAGAGAGATAAGAAGAATAACGAGAAAGGCTTATACCTCTACCCACCACCATGTCTTTTAATAAAATTAAGACAACAACAATTGGCTATGAAAAAGAGAAAACAACATTAATCCCATTTTTTGCTGGTACAAACTTATGAATAATATGATCTCTCCCCTTATTCCCCACACCTCATTATTAGACTTATACATATTCCCCCCCCCATCTCACATACGCTCACCTATGTACAATAAATAAATAAAAAAAAAGAAACTATTTCTCATAACTTATAACATTGTGTCATGGTCACTTTAGCCAATAAAAACAAGGTTGTGTTAATATATAAAAAAAACCCTTCTCCTACCCGTTTCCCCCTTTTTTATTTTCACTTATCTAATCCCAGAGTATGACAGATAATTGGTCCGCTTCAAATTATAATAAGCACGCTTCTTTTGTTCCGAAGCTCGGCAACATCATTCTCGACATGCTTGATCCTCAACCCAACGAGCATGTGCTTGACTTCGGTTGTGGTGATGGTGTGCTTACGAAGGAGCTCGCTGCTCGTTGTAAATCCGTTGTTGGTATTGATGCCAGTCGTAAAATGATTACTGCGGCGAATGAAGATAAACCACCCAATACGGTCTATTATACGGTGGATGGGTATGACGTGGATACTTGGTTCAATCAGACTCAAAATGTCACTCATTTTGACGCGGTTTTCTCTAATGCTACACTTCACTGGTTAAAGCGAGACCCTGTAAAGGTAATTCGGAACATCAGACACGTTCTGAAGCCAAAAGGGCGTTTTGTAGCTGAGTTTGGGGGCTTCATGAACATTGGAGGTAAAGTCAATAAAGAAATTAAGGTTGCAACTTGCTCATTACTCTTTAAAACAGAAATTCAAACTGGCTTAATTACTGCTCTAAATAAGCGTGGGCATGATGGAGCTGCTTATTCGCCATGGTATTTCCCATCAGCTGAACAATACAGCAATTTGTTGACCCAAAATGGGTTCCAGGTGGTACAAGCCGAAATATTTCCACGCATGACGCTTCTAAACACCGATATTGCAGGTTGGATTGAGATGTTTGGGTTTGATTTCCTGAAAGATGTCAGTCCTGAAGAACGTCTTGAAATCGCGCTTGAAGTGCAAGAGCATCTTCGACCTTCTTATCAAAGAGAAGATGGCAAATGGTTTGCAATGTATACTCGTCTTCGGGTGATCGCCCTCAAGAATTAATCATTTTATTTCATTTTTTTTTATTAAAATTAAAATTAAAAATATTGCTTAACAATAGTGCCATTGGTAGTGTTCAATGAATATCTATTGCTCTCAAATTGTTCAGAGTGGAAGAAAGATTGAGTATCTTGAATGTTCAATGAACTGGCCTTATTATCGAATTCGGCCAGAGTCAAGTGTAATTCGGTAGGAAGTCGCTTGTTACGAAGTTGATATAATTTACGCTTTTCAATAAAGATTTCGTCTAATGTAGAAAGTAACAATTCATGATCATCACGAGAGTTTCTGATAAACTTCATGAAACGCTATAATACACAAGAGAGAAAAAAGTTTAGTGGAATGTAAAAGGGTGACGAATCATGGTAGCCATATTTACTCTGCGAAGAATCTTCATCATACTGAACTTTTGTGCACTAATGAAACTATCCAATGCAACACGGATAGCCATATCCACATCGTCGGAACGAACATACTCTCTTAAATGCATCTTGGCGTGGGCTTCAGCGAGACGAATCATGGATTCAAGATGACGCACGGTGATAGGAATACTACCACTGGCGAGAGATTCTCTTCTTAATTCAGAGTAAAGACGAGACAATTTATCTTCATCCACTTGTTGTAATTTAGGTTGAATCTTTTCACGAGCATACATGATATATTTCTTTAAGAGTGTTTGATCGATAATCTATTTTCCCGTGACAATGATTAGTATGAGTTTGGGGGAGACATATCTCCGAAAAAAGGAAACTTACATCGGCATCATTTTCTCTTGGTTGTGCGAATTTGGCATCTGTTTGATTATGAAGAGGATGACTACGGATATGACTTCCAATAACGTTGGTGGCCAAGATATGATCAAGTTCGGGATCAACCAAATCCTTTACGACACAAAGAACATCAAAACGAGATAAAATGGGTTCTGTTAACTCGACATTTTGAGAGAATGGGATGGAAGAATTGTAACGACCACGGATAGGATTAGCAGCAGCCAAGACAGAACATCTGGCTTGAAGTGTGGTAACGATACCAGCCTTTGAAATAGAGATAGATTGTTGTTCCATGGCTTCGTGAATGGATGTACGATCCGAGTCGTTCATTTTATCAAACTCATCAATTAAACAAACACCACGATCAGCCAAAACAAGGGCACCACCCTCAAGTGTCCATTCACGGGTAATAGGATCCTTGTGAACAGAGGCAGTCAAACCTACAGCACTTGCACCTTGACCTGTTGTGAAGACAGCACGATGGGCGGTCTTTTCAACATACTTGAGGAATTGTGATTTAGCAGTACCGGGATCACCCAACATCAAGATGTTGATATCACCACGAATCACATGCTTGCCTTGAATATTTTTAGGTACGCCACCAAACATGGCTAAAGCAATAGCTCTTTTGATATCATCGTGACCGTAGATAGAAGGAGCTATACTCTTCATGATCTTTCTACCGATACGTTTATCTTTACCCATGGCTAAAATCTGCTTGGTATCATCTTCTGTTAATCGATAAGCAGCAAACATATTTTCCTTCTTGTTGATGAAATTGGCTTCAATGATGGTTGCGAATACAGGGAAACCATTCTTGGTACTGAGTGAAGCATCGAAATTATTACGGTAAACACCAATCACTTCGACTTCCTCTCCTGGCTTGGCTTGATCAATCAAATCCCAGAGACAGATGACTTCTCTGTGACGAGGTAGACGACCGGGTGGAACCGTACCGGGAGATTCTTGAATCGTCAATTTCTGATAATTACGATAGACTGTTTGTTCCATATTTACATTGAAAGGACCTTTGCTTTGACAGCTAGGACATGTGTTGATCTTAATTTCGTTGTGGATATCTTGATAAAAGGGACCAAGAAGTGCTGAACATTTACCACAGTTGTATTTAACCCACTTCAATTGAGGGAAGACACCAGTACGGCGGGTGACGACACCTGATACACGAATTAAACAATTCAATTGAGATTGTCTTAACTCACGTAATGTGTTTTTGAGGGGTAAATCTGTGATGCGGACATGAATTTCGCGATGAATACGTTCGTATGCGGGGAACTGCATCAAAGTAACTTCTAAAGCCACTTCATCAAGAATCTTTAACATGGCGATAGGTGAGTTGGATAAATAGTAGGCTAAAATGATTTTGCTGTCTGCTAAATTCTCGTAATTCACTTCAAATGATTCCTTATTGCGTTCACCCATATCTCTAATACGTTCACCATAAACAGATGTACCATGCTCATCGACAAAAGTTTGTAAAAAGTCACGGAATTCTCTCTTGATACCTCTACGAACAGCTTCTCTTGTAATCCAGATAGCGATAGATTTGTCTTTAATGTTACGAAGATCGTTTAATGTCATCTCAGGCTGTTACATGAATATATAAGTGTTTCGCTCTTTCCTATTTGTATACATATAAAAATCCAAGAACTTACCACACCATCTTCATATACATCCACGTTTTGTGCATCATACATATGACGATGTCTTCTGACATTAGGTAAACTATCATCAATATCATCATCTAAACCATGAATAAAAGCACCTGCGACACGTCCTTCTCTTCTTCTAATTTCAACATCACGTTTGTTCAGGTTATTGTCTAACGCGTTACGAGCTCCTAAATCAATAGGCTCATAATGTCTATCATCTACGCCTTCGGTTTCATAGTTATCGAGCACGTCATTTTCAGCGTAATCTCTAAAAAAAATTGTTTTAGGTTTGTGTTTGACAAGTGCTCTTTCATGTGTGTTTTTATTACCTTTCGGCGTCTTGGAAAATATCAATGTCACCGTTATCAGAGTCATTCAATTCATCATCCACAAGATCTTCTTGCTCATTTCTGTACTCTGCTTCAGAAAAAAAGGGTGCAGGGGAAGAAGGGAACAAGGAAGAAGGTTCAGGTGAATCGCCACCGTCTTGGCTTGCACCATCACCACTATTTCTTCTTCTTTTATTAAATCCAGACTAAATTTCTCAATCAATACAGTGACTTCTTCTAATGCTCTCTTTTTTTTTTTACCATCTATAGTTTTTTTTTTTTTTTTCGAAAGAGAAACCTGGAAAAAAAATTTGTTTTTGAGTAACGCGTCCATAAAAAAGTCAACATGTCGCGACGTAAAAAAAAAAAGAAGACTGCTTTTTAGAAGCTTCCCCAACTATCCAGTGGGAATGCATCACTTGCAATCTATCAAAATGGTGTCTATTTTTGCAAGAAACCATTATCTTTATGTCCCGCATAAAACATGTTCTTCGCATAAAAGATGATGGGTATGTAATAAAGTGATTACTTATTCACTATAAAAGGGAAACACGATACCCACAACTCAAAGAAAAAAAAAAGTCCACACTTGAATGAAACCATATGCTGCTCTCATTGCTTCACTCTTCGTTTGCCATCAAACTTTTGCTGCGCCTATTGATGTTATTCGTACGCTAAAAAAATTAGGTGAATGGTAAGTGTTCATTATGTAATAAAGCGGATTGGTTACAAATGCTGTGCTGAAAAAATCGTTGCGTTTACAGCTCTGCTCCTCCAGTCTATATGCCACCCATTTACTATCCTCCCTTGTACCCTCCACCTCCCGTTTATCCACCTGCTCCTCCAATTTATAACGCTTTAGCTTCTGAATAGCTGACCATTTGGCATGATACGCACTACAAACAATTTTTTTTTTCAATGTTTATCATCATTTGGCTTAGTCTACAAAAAAATCTAAAAATAAACGCTGTCATGTATCTTGCCGCTAAACTGTTGTCATGGTTTTTTTTTTATATCATAAATTTTGTTCGTAATTATACATGTTTAATAAATGATACTTTATTCTAAAAATATGATTTGTTTATATAAATAGCCTTTCAGTAATAAGCTCTGGTGACTCTTCGAATGCCAACATCATACCCATATACATGTGGGGAGAATTATGACAATGCATAGCCCAAATACCTGGATTATCCTATACAAAATTAGAAATACAATGAGTTCATATGAAAGTGTTTATAGATAATATTGGCAATAAAAAAAAAAACTTACAGCTACAATGCGGACCTTGGACCAGCCGCATCCAATTTCGGGATTACCATCCTGTTTTTCACTTTCACCGGGATAAACCAGAGTCAGGTCTTTAAAGACAGGATTAGGTACATTTCGAATCATACCATCTCGCTCTTCCATATATTCACCGTGGCCATAGGCTATTTCCCAGTGAGAATGACCATGCGTATGCCAGGGATGACTCCGACAAGGTTCTCCCTCTCGATGTGTTGTCTGTATCACGATATCAACAATTTCCAAATGACTGAGGGGATAGGTGTGGAGATGCGGGTCATAACCAGTAACATGACGGTCCATCACTTGAGGCAAATTCCTTGTGGTGTTGACAACATCGTACAGTATAACCTTGTTAAAATCTTCCATAAAACTAACGTCGTTGATGTACCATCTTGTTAATCCGTCAATGATGTTTTGACTTCCACGTAATTTGATAACACGACTACTGTTCAAAAGTGCTTGGGGTTCTACGCCGTAATAAGGTTCGATCTTATCCCAAAGCCAATGGACAGTATCATTGACAGGAAAGCTTGGTTGTAAAGCAGCGGTAGATAGCGTTCTTGAACCCACCGGTTTATCAGTTACTTCATCAAAACTCCAGGGAACAAATTCCTCTTCCTGATATCTGAGAGTAGCATATCCGTTTGTTTCGGTAGGGATACCAGCAGCCCATTTACGCACGACATGAATACCATAGTCATCCGATGTTTGATTTGTTGTGATTAATACCGAGAATCGCTGACCAGCAGAGACTTCTAAATAATCCACGTCGTATGGTTTGACATAGTCTCCATCCACTTCAATGACAGTCATTTGATGACCTGCAATAGCAAATCCAAGAGTCCGAAAGGTCATGGCACCAATCACACGGATACGATATGTGCGATTAGCATGAACAGGTATGATTGCATAGCCTTTGCAATTTGTATCAAGATCGATACTGGAATCAAAGATACCGAGACCATTCATTAGGAACGTTTGTGCTTCAAAGATCTGCGTGAAATTGGGACCAAGATAATACGCTTCAAATTTTCCTCGATCAGTATGCCACCATTCACTAAGAGAGATAGTGCGTTCATCATCATAGGTAAATGGACCATCTTTGAGTTGGTTTTTGACCACAGCAGGGTTGGATTGATCGGAATCGTATACAATCAAAGGGCCAAAGACACTCATTTCCTCTAGACCGACATGTGCATGATAAAAGAACGTGCCCACTTGATTAGGTACGTTGAATAAATAGGTAAATGATTCACCAGGTTCGATAGGTCTCTGAGTTAAGAAGGGAACACCATCCGAGCTAGAAGAGTTGATTTGACGAATGCCATGGAAATGAACCGAGACTTTCATACCGACGCCACCATAGACGGGAAGATTGGGTAAGATATTGTTTCGAACAATGACTTGCACATTGTCACCCTTGTTGAGAGAGAGAGGAGGGCCGGGCATTTGATTGTTTATCATGAGAACAGAGGAGAGATGATTTGAACAATCAGGGTTGTGGCGTACACTTGTGATATTTAATTCATAGTAACGAGTGATGGCACTTACTTTACCGTTACTGAATAGTAGTGCAATAATAAGAAATGATACAAAAGATATATGCATTTTATTTTAAAAAGTTCTTTATTGTTTTCGTCTGCCTTATTTTTATACTATTTTCTGTTTTATTTTATTTTTACACTCTAGTTTTATTTAGGGATGTTCCTAAGCTGAGTGATGTTAAAAATAAGTATATATTTTAAAATTGGCTGTAAATGGCTGAACCTGTCATCAGAAAAGTGCAGCTTCTTTCTTACCTGCATAAAAGAAGTATTTGTTTTTTTTTTAAAAGAAAAAAAAAACTGGCGCAATCATAATTGAACATCATCATCATTTTTTCTTTTTTTTTTTTTTTTTTTTTCTTTTTTGTGATAAACTTATAAATAGTGACAAACATTTAAGCATAACAGGTTTTATTTTTGCTTTGAAAAAGTGGTATCCCTTTCAATCTACAAGTGATAACAAAAACAAAAATCTCATTTTAGGAAAAAAAATTCCCAGTAACCGGTGGCTAGTTACAACAAATAAAAAAAGGGTCTACAAGGTGGAAATCATACCAATCGTTTTACCCCAAAAGTAAACACAATAAGTGAAATCCCCCACGCGAGTCGTTCCCTAATTAAATAAAACCTGTCTATACCCGGTATTGAGAGCAAAAGAATTATTGGTGCATTCGAATTCTGGTCGACAAGCTACAAGTGTAATAATGTAACATTATGGATTCGCTATCAATAATGAGCCACACAAAGATACAGTAGGTAAGGCGAAAAAGGCGATACGTTTTTCCGATGCTGAATAAAGGAAAAAAAAAGTTGCTATTTTTGACCACCTTTTTATTTTTTTATAAGCCTTGCATAAACTGTCCAAATAAATCAACATAATAGATAACGTGTGATTTCTAAGCATGGGAAAGGGGAAAATGAGGCGTAAAAAAAAAACGTTGTGATGTATCACATTTGTGATCGAAAACGTTTTTATCTTAATTAGGATAAAAGAGATAAAATTAGGAGAGTGGATGGTTAGTTCTTTTTTATTATGAAATCTCGAATATTTTACAATGAAATTGTATGACAAGCAAGCCTCTCGCTCCCCTCTTATCAGATTGCACAAAAAAAATGAGTCACACATGCCGCATGAATTAAAAAAAGAAAAAGAAGAGCCAATTACAAGTTGTTAAAACCAGGGTCGAGATGATTAATTATTTAATTGATTGGCTCACAATGATTATCTTATGTAAGCCCTTAGGCGTGGGCGGGTAAACTCACACTATTTTGATTTCAAATACATGACTAAAAAAACGAGATAAAATGATTTAGTGTCATCGGATTGCATCTATTTATCCCTTTATTACGTAAAAATATGTCAGAAGCCTCGGGTACAATGCTATATATCGAGGAATCGTTGGTTGCATACTTGAGTAGTTCTAGCGGATTTATTCCCTCTTACCCTAATTCAGCTTTTTTTTCGAATCGAACCTTTTCTGTGTCTCAATGAATTGTGTGTGTGTGTGTGTTTTTTTTTTTTTTTTTTTTTTTTTTTTTGCTTTGTACCAGCCTTACATTAGTTATAGTTCATTATGTTCAGTGTGCCTGTCGACAACATGGCTTAAATTAAATGAATTCAAAAGGCTTAAAGTAAGAAGAAACAGGGGGTTGGGACCCGTTCTAGAAAAGCTCGGTGCTCTAACTTATTACACCCAGATTTCATCACAACATATGTTTCTCGTATGCACCCAATGATGATGAAGAGGAAACGACTAAATAAGAACGCTTCAGTTGCTGTGATAGGCGGCGGGGCATTGTTAAAGGATGTAAGTAGTGCATCAAAAATATGATTCGAACCCGGCCCTTGTCGTCATCGAATTTCATTCACCGAATTATCCGATTCCCAAGTGGGATAAATCCTCGAAGATGGTATAAATAGCGGGGGCATTGACTAATCCTTTAGCACTTTTCTTTTTTTCTTTTTAAAACTTATTTTTTAAATATATTAAACATGTCTGTCCTCGAACAACTCAAGAACTTCACCACCATTGTTGCCGATTCCGGTGACTTTGAGAGTAAGTATACAAAAGCATAAAGATCCATCAGTAAGACTGACGCGTGCTTTCATAGCTATTGCTCAATACAAGCCCCAAGATGCCACCACCAACCCTTCTTTGATCTTGGCTGCTGCCCAAAAGCCTCAATATGCTCATCTTATCGAGGATGCTATCAAATATGCTCAATCCAAGGACATGTAAGTACAGTTTTGTTTGTTTCGTAAGGTTTTACGATGTCTTTACTCATGTTTATTTATACAAAAGCTCTGCTGAAGAGAAGCTCGAATTAGCTACCGACAAGCTTTTGGTTAACTTCGGTTCCGAGATTTTAAAGATCGTCCCCGGTCGTGTCTCTACTGAGGTTGATGCTCGTCTCTCTTTCGATACTGAAGGTACCATCGCCAAGGCCCTTTCTCTCATCCAATTATATGCCGATAACGGTGTCAACAAGGACCGTGTCTTGATTAAGATTGCTTCCACTTGGGAAGGTATCCAAGCTGCTCACGTTCTCGAGACCAAGCATGCTATCCACTGTAACTTGACTTTGTTGTTTGGTTTTGCTCAAGCTGTTGCTTGTGCTGAAGCCGGTATCACTCTTATTTCTCCTTTTGTCGGTCGTATTCTCGATTGGTACAAGAAGAGCACTGGTGAGAGCTACACCTCTGCCACCGATCCCGGTGTCTTGTCTGTCTCTGCCATCTACAACTACTACAAGAAGTTTGGTTACAACACTATTGTGATGGGTGCCTCTTTCCGTAACACTGGTGAGATCGAAGAGTTGGCTGGTTGTGATTACTTGACTATCTCTCCCGGTCTTTTGGGTGATTTGCAAAAGGATAACAAGACTTTGGAACGTAAGTTGAGTGTTGAAAGTGCAAAGACTGCTGAACTTGAGAAGGTTTCTTTCTTCAAGGATGAGAAGGCTTTCCGTTGGGAAATGAACCAAGATGCCATGGCCACCGAAAAGCTGTCCGAAGGTATCCGTAACTTTGCCAAGGATGGTGTCAAGCTTGAAAACTTGTTGAAGGAGAAGCTCGCTTTGTAAATATTCCCCCCATAAAAAAACCACAACTTTTATATAATCTTTCTTTTTTTCCTCTTATGCATCAGTCATATCCATATTTTACAAAAAATAAATAAAAAATTCCATTCGTTGAGTTTTGTTGAACAATAATATTGACATCTTTTTTTAATTTCTTTTTTTTTTTGGGGTGAAGGGGCATTCTTTTTTCGGGATAATGTTTTTGTCCACATTTCCCCGCGCGGCCCCTTGTGGTACATTGCGGTAAAAAGTTTGGGGGAACTTATTTCTGCGCGGTACATGTATCATTTTCCGCAATATTCGCAATAAGCAATATAAATATCAGAAATGGGTTTGTACAGTAAGAATTTAGTTTATTCAAAAGCCTAGAAAGCACTCACAATTGGGTGTACGGTAATCATTTTATTGATGTCTTAATCAAGTCTGTTTTTTTTTATACTTGTCCGTCTTGGCACGAGAGCTAAAACAATACTAAGGCATGTTTTGAGTCAGAAAGAAATTTATCTTTTTTATAAGAAAAGCGTATCAGTAGCACAAAGTTTCTGGTCGATGATGGAATTATTATTCGATGGTTTAAATTCTGAAGAATTTCGGAAGAGACTACTTAAAATAAAGCTTAAAGTCATGTAACTGAGTGTGTAATTATTTGGATTTATTACGTATATTTATACGATTTATTAAGGGATAGGGATGAATAATATAGTAATTGTTATAAAAAAGGTGGGAGATAACTGCTTAATAAGTTATGGTGTGACTACAGGCTCAGAGGCAGGGTCAGTTTGTGTGGGGGCCTCAGTAGTTGTGGCAACTGGCTCGTCAGTTGTAGTAGTGGATGTATCCGTAGTAGTAGCAGGGGCTTCAGTGGTGGCGGTAGGAAGAGCAGTCGAAACTGGGTCCACAGTTGTTGTAAATGTAGGCAATGCTGTACTGGAAACAACAGGAGGTACTACTGAACCGAAAGAGGAAACGCTAAGGATTCCTAAAGTATCGTTCATACACATGTCAAAAAATCCGGGCATGGTAGTATACAGGGGAACTAAGACTTCAAATGGAACACTTTTTTGGGTATAGTACATATCGGTAACATGGAAGTTGTTACCAACAATAACCTCTGCATGTTGCTCAACGTCAATATGTGGGTCACCAAGAGTACTTTGCATACCTTCGACAAGGCCCGGAAGAGTAACAGGAATACGATCCAATCTGAAAGTCTCATGAGCACCAACATTAGCGGGGGAAGGAAGAACATAATCAATAGTTCCGATAGTTTGGTATCCAACAAAATCTTTCATAAAGGCAGTACAAATAATGTTCTTCTTGGATAAAGCCTTAATACTGATAATTGTGATGGGGGTATCCAATGGATTCTCAATGGTTATATTAGCGTAACCCGTGTTGAGCAAAGCAAAGTCGTTAAGTTCGCCAGTAAGGTAAATCCCCTTGATCAAAGCGGTTTGAGTACCAGGAGCAGCAGAATCGAGTGTAAGAGATTTCAATGCAGGATTGAGAGGAGCAATAGTGGTAGATCTTTCGGTACCTTGAATGACCAAAGGAACAGTAGTACCAGTCATGTAATTGTGGAACATGGCACCAACAGCTTCGGCACTAGTAGCCATTTCACCCAAGTGCATGGTAGCAGTGTATGTCTTGGATCCAGGAGAAATAATGAGATCCTTCATGTAGACGAGACCAACGCGAGCATTGTTATAAGCAGGCATGAGAACATCAAAGTTAATATCACCAACGGTAATGGTGGTATCAGAAGGATTTTCCATTTGAACAGTGAGATCAACAATAACATAGCTTGCAGTAGCACCGGAAATTTTGAGAGAAATAATGGTTACCTTCTTGTTGAAGCTAGAGAAACCTATTAAGTAAAAAGTGAATTAGTATTTTTTGAAAACTCCAAGGACTTAAATGTGTTATTTTAATTTACCCTTTAAAGTAGTATCAACAGCGAAATGGATACCAGGAAGAGTTAAATCACCAACAGAAGTGTGAGCAATAGCATTGGAAGTGCCTTGCAAGCCAAAAGTAACACTAGGACTGAGAGTCAAAAGTTGAACGAAACCAGCGAAAAGTGGCTTGTTGGCAACAACAAAAGGAACATCCTTGAAACTAGTAGTGATCAAACCAGAAGGACTAGTGGTAGCAGCATTATCAGGGACATCGAGACTGGCAACAGCATTACCTTCATAGGTAGCTTCAACCTTCATGTTAAGTTGCTTGACACCAAGAGGGAAACCGAAAGGATTAGCAAGTTGGGCTTCGACTTGAGAAGAGCTGGTAGGAGGGGCCCAAGGATCCTTGGTGAAATCTAATTGCATGTTTCTCATTTCAATGGAAGGAATAAGAACAGGGATCTTCTCAGGACCAGGTAGGATAACATTGCCAATAGTAAGAGTCTTGAAAGCAGCGGTAAGCCAGCTAACCTCACCTTGAGGACCAGAGCCGGAAACACCCTTAACAGTAAGTGTAGAAGAATTACCAGAAAGATAATGGCCAAAGACAGTAGTGACAGCAATGATACCTTCACGAGTAGTTTGAGGAACCAATCTACCCTTCATGGGAACATTGGAAGATCCTTGAGGGTTGAATACAGCAGCACCGTCGGATGAGAGGGGTCCAAGATCAACATCACCAAAGAAGTTCTCAAATGCAACACCACCAAGGTTGAAACCAACTTGACTGGGGTTCTTAATGACAGTGTTAACAGTAAGAGCAATACCACCATCGGGATGATCGGCAGGTAAATCGAATGAAGTAACGGTAACAGCATCCTTAAATCCACTAGCACCGGCCAATTTAACAATCTTGTGAAGGGCAATTTTGGTGAAAGTGAAGCCAAGAGCCTTGACACTAACATCGCTGGAGGTAATATCCCAAACAAATTCAGGGTTGTTAATTAAATAAGCAGAGAATTCACCCATAGCACCACTATCAGCAACAGTGAAGACACCAGGAACATCAAAGTCAGCACCAACAAGAGGCTTGGCATTGATATCAGCCATGGTAACAGTACCGATAGTCTTGCCTTGCCACACAACAGTAAGAGGGGCAGGGAAACTAATAGTAGCAAACATGGGTCCAGAGCCTTTAATAGAACCCTTCATTTGAACCTTGAATGACTTCTCAGTAACTTCAGACATGACAACACTCTTGAAAGAAAGAACGGATCCATCAACAATTTGTTGAACAATGGGTTGACCAACAAGAGGAACTAAACCAAGAACAGAGCTATCAGTGGCAACGGCAACACCAGCTTGAGAGAAAGCTAAATCGTTACTGTATTCACCAATATTCAAAGCAGAAGAAAGAGAAAGATCAACCTTCAAGGCAGCCATGGCATCTGTAGTGAACTTGGAGATATCAAAGTTGGTGAAGAGGTCAGCATCAGCTTCAACACTTTCTTGACCTTCGACTTCAAGACCACCCAAACCAAATAAGGCATCAAGAGGCCTGGTATCCATGTTGGATTGAACAGCAAGAGTACGAAGCAACAAGGCAACGGACGCAGGTTCCAAGTTCATGGCCATGTTGAAAGGAGCAGATTCAGCAATAGCTTTGCCACCGATGACAAAAGGATTACTTGAAATATCTTGATCAATATTACCCATGGGCATACCACCAAACGTGACAGCAGAGACGACCTTGGTAATACTCAAGCCAGCACTGAAGGGGTTAGCAATAGAGACCTTAACACCGACAATACCAGTGGTAAGAGTATCGGGAAGAACAATTAAAGCAGAACCTTGAATCAAAGCAGCAGTAAGACCAGGAAGAGTTGAAGCGAGGGTAACAACACTAAGAGGTTCGGCAAGACTGACAATGCTAGTAGAGTTGGCATAACCAGTAATATCAACAGCATTATCGCTACCCATGACAAAGGTACTCAAAAGGTTTTGTCCAACATCAGAAGACTTGGGATCGAAAGTGGAAGTAGCAGAAACAGTGTTTTCACCACGGTTCAAAGTAAGATTGTTTAAGGTAACAAGACCGAGAACGACACCACTGGCACCCATGTTGAAGCTAACATCGCCGGTAGAGATACCAAAGTCAGAGGGATTACTCATGGTTACGTTAATAGCAAGATTCAAACCAGTAGCAGTACCACCAGTAACATCAAGAGAGTTAATAACAGTAGCAGTGCTGTTCAAGAAGTTAAGACCTTGAAGAGTAGTAGGAACGGTGAAGTTAATACCATTTAAAGTAATAGGACCAAGAGGAGTCATAGCCTTAGTAGTAGCACTACCAGAGACCATGAAGGTATAGTTGTTGGAAGCAGTTAAAGCATAAGTATACTTGTTGTAAATACTTTCTTGTCCAGCAATACCGGCCATGGTTGTATTATTCAAAGCAAACTTGATGGTACCAGCAGCTTGATCACTAACAGCAGCAGCGTTTTGAACATTCATGACAGCAAAGTTGGCAGTTTCAGTGCTTGAGGTGTTGATAGCAACAGTGATGCTTTGAGTAAGTTCAGTAACATTTAAAGAGAAACCAAAAGGCATTTGGAAGTTGGCAGTAACAGCAGGAGCATTAATAACAGGTGCGTAAGGAGCAGAAGGATCAAACTTCAAGTCAAGGTAACCCATGCTAACACCATTAATGATCTTTAAAGGAGCAGGAGCTCCCAAACCAACCTTAAGGTTAACGGTCTTGAAACCCTCAGAGAGCCAGCCAATGGGGTTGACACCGTCAGGGGCACAAGAGACACCAACGGCAGTGGTGGTAGATACAACACCGGCAATATAGTTGGAGAAAAGAACACTGATCTTGTCCAAAGAGGCAGTATCATTTTGAGGTACAAGAGAACCCTTAAGGAGAATTCTGTTCTCACCCTTTTGGAGTGTGACACCGTCAGCAGAAACAATACCAAGTGATACACCATCATAGGCAACAGCAAGCTTGATTGTACCAAGTTGGACACCGATGGGAGAAGGACTTTCCAAGACAGTGCCTAATTCCATAAGAATACCGCCTTTAGGATCATCACCAGGAAGACCGAAAGAGTCAATCTTGACATTAGGGAAGCCATTCATACCTTTTTTAGAAAATTAAGAACTAAATTGTGGAAGAGGAAAGTATTTGTGTCACTTACCATTTAATGTGATTTCCTTATTAAGATTGACTGTGGCGGTTCTAAGATAAAGTATGAGTAAAAATAGGTTGCATACAATTATATTTTATATCTACCTGCTAAGAGCGGTGATGTCGAGCTTTCCTTTAAGAGTCCATTTAAACTCTTCAACAGCTAACATGGTCTTTGAGAACTCAGCAAAAGCAGCTTGATCACGGATCATGAAGGGAGTGACAGCATTTAACTTTCCTTTACCGCTAGCAATTTTGGCTTCTTCATAAAAGAAGATATCACCGAGGTAGGATTCGTTGTAATAGATTTGTACAGGATTATGGAACTTGATTGTAGCATGGAATGGACCGGTCTTAGAGAGATCACTTTCCATTGACATGTAAAAGGTGGAATTCATATCATCGCCATCACGCTTAGAATAAGCAGCATTGGTCAAGGACTCGGGTTTGGTAAATGAAATAGCGGCAGCAGAGACATCAATCTTGGACTTGTTCATTAAAGATTGGGCCACTTTAGGGAAAATGACATAAAGAGCCAAGACAACTGCGACAATGACAACAATAACAGTGTTAATAGAGCAAATGATCCAGTATTTTTTTGTTTTGTAAAAACGGGGTTTCGTAGGAGGAGCAGCTTTTTCTGAATACTCCTCCATCATCCCATCATCTCGAAGTCCTCTTTGATCATCAGGAGTGTGATAATACTCAGGACCTTCGGGTACATCATGATCATGATGATGATTCATTGATATAGTAGGGTTGTGAGTTTATAACGTTAAAAAGAATGGAGAATATTATTTGTAAATTTTTAAAAGATGGTAAAAAAACGGTTTATATTTTTCTTAAAATGAAGACAGAAATAATGTGTATTTATATCTTCTTTTACTTCTTTTGTGTTCTTGGGAATGGTGGATATAATATAGAAATATACAGACTTTTCAATTCTGAACACAGAACTTTATGAGAAACGTTGCAGTAGCACACGGTATGTATTCTTGAGTGTGGGGGATTTATTTTTTGTGGCTCACATGAAGAACTCACAAAGAAAAAACTACAAAGCTGAGCATATATTGGACTTGGTTTATGGATCATATAATGATACCGCCGGCAACTGAAAATTGTCTATATAATACATGACCATAATAGGGAATCTAAATAAAGTGGGACTTTATATTCAAATTTGATCTGTAGTATGTTTATTTCTAACTGTACTTGAATTTATTCCTCTTTTGTAGAAGGACATATGATGGTTGACCAATCAATACTATGTATGACTATTGATGTGATTTGAAACGAATGTGTCCCACAAGTTTCTATAAAGTTTATTCTTGAAGTAAATCAGAAATTAAATGACCAGTCTAGTTTTGTATCATCAGTTAAATTTTTAAAAAGCTATGAGTGTATGGTATGCCCACGAAACAGTCGAACTACTTTATAAGAAAACTATGTGTGTAGTAGACTCTTTTATTATAATGACAAAGAAAAGATCGCATACAAATGCCATAAGAAGCGGTATTATAGCTAAATGTTGCTGGTGACTATAAAAACCGGACATGATGTTTTATTCAATATTCGATGTAAGACAGCAGAATTACCAAAATTGTTGATTACTTACACTACATTACTGAGTATTATAGTAAGAAAAATGACATTTTGAGTAAGAGAGAATAAGCTGAATTAAGTCTTTTCATGTTTGTATTTGATATTGAATTCTTAGCGTTTTAAATATACCAGTTTTATGCTGTGCCGAATCTTGAAAAGAGCTCAAAATACCTATGCAAGATCTATACTGAATTGTAAATTGGTGCTCCAGTAGCAGCAAAAATTTAATCAATGATACTTTTGGCGTATCACATACATTTACCAAATTAAAATACAATGTAAAAAGTAAAAAATTATAACAACTATTGTGACTCACGAAATCAAAAAGATGTGCTATGAATTAGGAATATCGTATTTTTCTCTTCCGCCGCCTGAAAGAGACACGGAAAATAAGAAACATGTATTATGAATATTACCAAAAGCTTCAGCCCTATTGTTATTAGAGCACAAATTTTTAGCACAGGCCGTAAATGAAAGATATTATGTACTTATAAATATACATTAAATCAGTGAGGCAAAAAAAACTCATGCTATAAAAATCGACAATTTTCAAATCTGATTTATCACATTAACAAATACACTGCCCGTACCAAGATGTGTCAAAATGTATAGCTAACTTAAATTAAAACTATATCAGTGTCTCCACAAGTGCAATCATTTATAGATGCAATGTTTAAGGCGCAATAAAATGAGCAGATGTGAAAATTCTACGAGCATAATTCGAACTGGATTGTAAACAAGAGTTGCTACACATATACAGACTGCGTAATGATAGTAACTTAATTATATACTGTAATAAAAGCATTTTAGCAGTAGTTCGGCTATGTACCGTAGCTTAAAGGATGTTTTGAATATTCCAGTAAATATACACATAGGCATTTACAGGTGTGCGTATTTATTAGACAATTTACGTAGAGCACAAGGATCAAAATCTAACATGGATTTACAACACGAACTTCAATAAAATTTGTACGGCCACGAAATAAATAAAACTTCTCATTTGGTCACGGAATAAAAAAATGACCCTGTAAGACTGGAAAGTTAAAAAAAGGGAAAGATACATGCGTACCCAATAATTCGGTATATTTTAAAGACCTTCAAATTTAAAGTTTTCTTCTGGTGTGTCAAAAATGGGATTATGCTCAAGCTTTGACTTTTTAAGTACTCTTACTTAATTCCTTGGTATACGTATTTTGCTACACAGTTAATCAATTTTGTCATATCGTACGGGTCTTTGTTGTATGCCCAAGATAAAATATAATCGATGAAAACTAAACGAATAAGTAAATCAGACAGGCTACTAATGATTTTCTATAGCCATATATACATTAATATAACAGTAATTAAATTAGCTAGTCTTTGACTGATAAACGTTGGGGTGCTGGGGTTCAGGAAGGGATTCTAGATGTCCTCTGCGGTCTAGTTGATGATTTACTCTCGATACTACTTAATACGTTGAAAAGGGCGGACAAAATAAATAATAATTCTTGATTTTTTGGAATTTTTATTCATCGTATACTCAAATATTTTTTGTGAAACAAAAAGGCAAAGTTCAAACAATGCAATAATAATGAAAATACGGATACATCAGGTTGAATAGTTTTGACTATTCTTTTTGGTATTAGGTAGGACATATTTTTACTTATTATGTCCTGCTGATCATTGCGTGCCTGCATTATTTTAAATGGTAAAAAAATTTAAAAAAATTAACTTGATTTCATTCATATCACCAACGTGTCATCAACTCGTCAAAGAATTTTTCCTTTTCTAACCATTTTATATGTATTACAAAAAGAAATTTTTATTATGGGTAGCTGCACTACCAAACGATAGAAACCAAAACTTATTCGATCTGTTCGAATGAAGTGATACCACCAACGGTTACGACACTAACAAGTCGGCCACTAGTAAGAGGGAACCCCCCGGTAAGGTATCCCTCCAATTGACTGAGTACAGAATACATTAGAATCATAAAGTCTTTCACAGAGATAAATACTCACTTTGCAATGTCTCCTGGGGAGGTCCACGTGCTAAAATCTGCGTCAGACATAAACTTTCTATTCATGGGAGTATCAATTGTGACACTATAAAGAGGATTTTAATAATTAATATCTCAATGTTATATTAACCCATGATTATCAGCTATGTCTTACGGTAAAAGTGCAGTCACTTTACATCCATCAGGAAGTCCACTCTTGGGTGCGGCCAAGTTTTTAACAAGATGATGAACGGCAGCTTTTGCAACACCATAACCAATCATATAAGGGGTTGCTTTTAATGCAGGTAGTGCACCTGTCAGAGTGAGTAAACCATTACTAATTTGTAACCAAGTCAGTAGATGATTTTATCTCCAAAATAATACGCGTCCATCTTTGCGCTGAACTACTTACGGCTGAAGATGGTTGGAGGCAATGTTGGCAGCAATCAAAGAAGAGTTTACACTTTGATCAAGCATAAGCTCGGAATTTGCTAAGAAATCTGTAATATATACTTAAATATAAAGCAATTGCAAGATACTCAAATTTCACTAACCCTTGCTTCCAGCATTTCCGCCAGCCCAACCACCTGCGACACAAAACACACCACATAATTTTTCTGTACCCAATACAGAAGCAATTGATTCATTTATAGCGTGACCTTGCTCGGAGAGAGATCCAGAAATAGTAGTCAGAGTATTAAAATCAGCATCTTTATTCTCAACCAGATCAACATTAATCACGGTCTAATAACAAAATTCAGAAAGTAGAGTAAGTACATAACTGTGTTACCCTAAATAGTGATAATGCTCCCATTAACCGCCCCCTGCCCCTGATTTACTTTACATATCCTTTTGTCTTAAAATGTTGAACAAGAGTGCGTCCCAAAGCGCCAGCCCCACCATATACGACAAGTTTACTCATTTTTCTTTATATAATTTTAAAAGAGATAAAAAGGGGAATGCAATTTTTTTTTTTTTTTTGCTCTAAGTATAAAAGTAACAGTCCCAATAAAATTATGTTACACATAGCTAAAACCGTGAGAAAACATTTACTTCATCGTTTGAGCATATTGTTTTATCCGGGTCACTTGATACAGTGCCTGTAGTTGGGTCTACTTGATTAACATTGCAAATCGCGATAGATTGTGGGTAAACACCTAATATCAAAGGTATTGGACGATATTTCAAAACTCCTCGTACCACAAGCCCGTATGGATATCTAATCATGCGAGACCTTTTTCCTTGAAATTAGTAAATGATGCACTGTGCTTTTATAATTCTTACCATCTTTCATTCCCGCTGGTATCTGCTCCTGGTGATTTTATACGAATTTGACTTATAGCTTCAGTTGGACCTTTATTAAATAAACTAGATTGAATCGATAAAGGTTCATCGAAGTGAACTAGGCCACCTAGATACTCTGCAGGATCTACACCTTCAACATGAGTTACATTTGCAGCATTGTTTGCCATTATGACACTTGGTACAATTTGACTAAACGCAAATATACTGATATCTGCATCGGCTACATGAATAGTCCACCAATTCAGATTCTTTGCTTGAACTTTTAGATCGAAAATCAATTCCTTGTCGGTGGCGAGCACTCTGCCGATGTCCACAGTGAGTTCCACTAAAGGTTCTGCTTTATGTATGACAATCATCAATAGCATGATTATAGCCATTAGTACGACCAAAAACGTATTACGAAGGATATTATTACTATTAATTCATAATTGAAGATAAGTTTTAGAAAGAGACAGAGAGAGAGAGTGTTGAAGGCTTACCAATTCTTTTTGCTACGCGGAATTCTTTTTTGTCTTCTCATTAGTAAAGGTGCATCCTCTTCGTCACTGGTGTATCCGCCGGCACCGCTAATTCCTCCATTATTTCCGCCGTAATAATATGCTTGCTGCATTGCGGGAGTTTGTATTGGAGGATATGTTCTTCTCGATCTTTTTGAAGTATTTTTATCTGAAGAAATAGACCCTTTAAAACTGTCATGCCATCTTCTCAAGATACTTGATCTATTCGAGTTTTGATGTGTTGTATGGTTGTTTAGGTTACTTCGAAGTTTGGGTCGTCTGCTATAATCACTATCTGACCATTCTTCCTCCTCCTCGTCAAGACTATTAGTATGGTGTTGTGAGTTTCTGTTATATAAGGCTTGTTTTAACCATTCACCCAGTCCTTTATTTCCCGTTCTTCTTTTGGAATCATGTGAAGCGGGAGTTGATCTAACAGAAATAGGTCTATGAATACCGGAAGCGGTCATATCTGACAAATGATGGGTTGACGACTCATTTCCGCTAAACGGGTAAACATAATGTTCGTTTTCATCAGAATCTGATATAATGAGTATCAAGTCTACAATACTCTCAGTATGGCTAATATATTTACCTTCGACGTTAGACACGGCGTCGACTAAATTTCTATGAAACACTTCGGCAGGACTAGCAGTTCCATGCATAATTGGTTTTATTTGCTTTTTACTGTTATGCTTTTTACGGCTTGTGCTACTATTTGGGTTACCCTATATGATGACATAAATTCAAATTAAGAACTTGAATTAGTTTTTCCTTTTCCATTGAACAATAGATTGAAAATCATCATGTAATAATTACCTCACTTCGAGCTTGATTTAACCTTCTCCTATCACTCATAGAGTGATTAGCATTTAGCGGTATTGGGCTTGCTGTTACTGTTCCGCTATTCGAAGTTGCTATGTTAGGGGCCGAAGGTGACATGGTCGGTGCATAAGTCATTTCGGTAGGTGGTAGTGGTGGATGAGCCACTTCGATATTATTTGGATTTTTGATGACATCTTCATTTATATTAGCATCCGCTTTTGATACATCCACATGTAAGGTATTTGAAGCTGCTGGGGTTGACTGTGCTCTAATAATATCCTCTGTTGGCTCAAAACGAGCCTTTTCAACAGTCATGTTTCGATCAAAATTCGAGAGTAAAAGATCTCGACGAAGTGAATGAGTATGTTTGTCTGTTGGCATGCCAAACTTATTATTTAATATTTGTTGTCTCATGTTATTTGGACTTTTTGTGTTTTCCTCGTCTATGTTGTTTAACTTTGTTACTTCGGTTGGCATACTTTATAATTTGTTTGGGCAGAGAGAGAGAAAGGAAACTGTGAAAAAAAAAAAAAAAAAAAAAAAAAACAAATCTATTTATCTGGGCTTAAATCAAGGTTTAATGAGAGTGAGATTCTATGGTGATTTGTAGATTTTTTATTGATATTAAATATAAACAGCGACTTCGCGAGTTGGAAGCTCAGGTACAGGATCGTCCTCGTTTTCTACATCTACAGTTACAATTCTAGAAAATGGACAGAGTAAATCAGTTGGATCGTATTGGTTATGGTCTTCTATAGGAGCTGGACAGGATGATATTTCGTCGTGTAAATCTGACCCTCTTTCTTTTAATTGTTTGTGAGTCGATATTTCACCCCAAATATCAAGCACCGGTAATTCTTCAAAATCAGATAACTTCAATTCTATAATTTCATCATTATCATCCATTAGAGGCACATTGTATATAGCAGTAGCTTGGGCAAATTCTTCCCGCATTGCCTTCTTCCTTAACTCCAAATGCTGAGTAGATAAGCTACTGTTTCCTTTAAAATTAGGGTACAACATGACATAAGATCTAAGATAAATCAATTCTTCAAAATATCTTCTCCACGATTTTATCCATTCATTTGATCTTAAATCCGGCACAGCCACGTCCTGCATTTGGAATCCATAAATATCTGCTGTTCTGGCTGTGATGTAATCGTGAAATTCTCTCCAATGTTCTGGGAAAAACACAGCACCTGAATGACTAGGCCATTGCATAAGATAAGGTTCGTTACTTTTTTCAGGGTAGCCTGCCTTAGTTAAAACATGACTTGGACTAAAGAAATGTCTACCTGAGGGATCAGTTTCGATCAAAGGAGGGGCATATAGACTTATTCCAAATAGATTTTTTGTTTTCTCGGATTCCATGTATCGATATCTAAGGATCGCATATTTGGCCCAGCCATAGTAATATCGAGATAGCTCAACGTCGTTGTTTAAAATAATTGCGTATTCGTCATTATTTGCAGGATACCAAGATTCGGCAAACAAGTGCGACTTACTGGCTTGCGCAATACGATGGCGGATGTTTTTAGTTCCCCTTTTCCAGTTGAAATTATTTGCGAATGTTTGCGTCACTTGGTCAGTTGAATGATCCATGAGTATTGTTAAATCCACATCATCTCCGAAATAATGTGCGCTAGTTGCTGAATTCAATAATCGTGCTAATGCATGGGGTTTTTTATCTGTATTAATCAAAATTTTAATAGTGAAGGAGTTCCACTCTATAATAAAATATTTTAGTTGCCAATAAGATTTATATTATGAGTCCTTACTTGAAAGTGTATCAATAGGCAATTCCGCCATCCAGAGTGCATGGGATATATCTTGTGTTGGTAAATAGATTTTGGTTACATCCGCAATTTCACCTGCTGATTTAATACTTGTAAACAATGGACTTTCTTGATCTACAGTATGAATTAAAATTCTGGGCTGGATTGCAGCCATGATATAAGCTAAACGATGGAAAAGACCATTCATTAAATTCCAATCTGGTGTCGTGTGCAACATGCTGATATCGTGGACAATAAGATCTACCGATGGTTTGCCGCATAAATTTGAAAGGGAACTTTTCACCTGCTGGTCAGATAAACCCTTAATACTGCCACTTATAGCAACATGTAAATCCACCTCCTGTTTATCCTCAAATTTGCATAAAAGTGTAGCTAAATTTTCTAGATTTTCAATTGAATCAACATAAAATAATAACGGTGTAGTAGCGGTCTTTTTATATCCATTATTTCTATATGACAATGTGTCGTATGCAGTGGATTGTTTATCATGCAAAAATGTTGTTAGGTCATTGCATGTTGCGGATTTCTTGGTTTTTTGAAGTCTAACGTCTCCCCAGTAAGCTCGTTCAATCGGATCTGTTGGAAGGGCAATCGATGGAATACCGCCATTCATATACAGAGCACGGCTGATAAATAATCCCGTAAATGTGTCCAAAGCAGCAGTAGTATTGCCCATATTAATTTCATTCACCACAAACGGGATCCAAGAGCGACGGAGCAACCAGCTGTCATTTACCATATCTACAGCTTTACTCCTCATCTGTCTGCTACCTGAATTAATTGAGGCAGGCATACATTCGATTTTATCTTCAGATTCCACATCCAATATAACAGCTTCGGTTCCCAATAATGACGATCTGTACTGCTTTGTATAGGATAGTTTTAATAGGTTTTCCAAATATCTCTTTCCAGGTGCAATATCTTGATCAATTATCCAGACAAATTCGGTTGAAACATGAGCAGTAGCTTGTAACCATTGATGTGGGATGGTATCCACATTATCTCTTGCCATAACCTTGACGCGTCTCCTGTCCAGTGTCATGATTCGTGCATCCACCTCGTTTTTCTGATTTGTATCACAAATAATCCAAATATACTCTGGTAAAGCTGTCTGAGTTAAGACAGATTGCAGTTGAATATACAATTGTGCTACTGTCTTTGTGTGTATGATAGTTGTAACCGGAACTCGACGGTATTGTTTGTTAGAGGCGGAGGTGGTAGGCAAGGGTATGTTGTTGGTGAGTCGACGAAGCTCGTCAAATGTGTGCCCTAAAACTTTGCCTTTAGAGAGTTGACGTGCAAAGGAATCTTGGCCAAGGGTAACAGCATCTAAACTGTTGAAATTAAATCGAGATGATGTAGACCCTACAAAAAAAAAAAAAAAAAAAAAAAAAACGTTACAGTCAAAACGCTTTTCCGGCTCAACTTAAATATTTTACCCTTCTTTTCTGGTAATAATCTATTTAAAAGTGCATAATTGGCGAAATGACTCGAGTCTTGGAAGTCTGCAGTTTGTTCAAAAGTAGAAACTTGTGGTTTTGAGCCTGTTTTCACTTTAAAGTAAAAGGTATTAGAGAAAAGCAGGACCAGAAATACAATAGCGACGATGCATATAAGAATAAACGATCGAGATTTTCGATTTAAAAGATGGCTGAAGACATGGGATGACTTTTTCACATCTAGTAGCGAAGAATCTTGTGGTGGATAGACTGAATATTGTTTTGAATTTGATAGTTGTCTTCTCGAACGGGTTCCAGCCCTTTCTAAATCTTCCTCGTCTATTTTCATTTAATTAATATCGCTTTGAAAGAAGAAGAATCGATACATGGAAATAATTCTGTGTTCGTTTCTATTCTGGGCTCTAAATATCCTTTTTTAGCCTTAACCTATCGCTTTTTGGAGTTTCAATTTTCATTGACATTTCATTGGCTCTTAAAATCAAATTTTAATTTTCCCAAAAGTCAATCTGTGTTCACTTGTTGAGTCTTATCTGCGAAATTTGATATTTTAATGAAACCTTTATCAGCTAAGTCCTTCTACGCTTAATACAGCAATACCCTAGAAAATTACAGCTTGTGTTGATTTGTATCTTAAATTTCATTTATCAATTCTTCAATTTGCCCAAATATTGATGAATTAGTGGCTGTATCACCGTCATCAATCGGGCTGATACACAAGCAAAACAATAGAAGCTCTCCTTGCCCAAATCTTTTAATTCAGGTGTATACCATTAGTTGTAGGCATAAATTTGATGTTACTGTACAACACTTGAATACCCTAAATTTTTTTATCAATATCAATAACTGTTGACGAATCATATACGATTTGAAGAAACCTAATTAAAGCGAAATACTTTGGTCCCTGTAAGACCCGAAATTAAGGTACAGCCTTATGTTTTGCAAAATGTTGATAGTGAACAATGGTTAGCTGTCAAATTTAGTCATTTCCAAATGAGATATTCAGACATTTAACACCTTTGATTCAACTTGAATGAGACGTACGAGTCCCTCGAGTACAAACTTAAATTTATATATGCATGCTATAACTGTAGCATTCTTATCATTGATTAAATATTCTTGTTTTACTTTCAGTTATCAGCCACAAAAATAGAATCTTGTTGACCCAGGCATTGTGAAAACCCAAGGCTCTTGATCTAAGCGCACCTTGGCTGTCCCTTAGAAACCAGTTGATGCTTTTTTATTTATTAGTGACTGTCCTGCTAATGTGGTGATTCACTCACTGGCATCCATTTTATCCCCCTGTTGATGTCAAAAATGAATCAATGGTTCCAAAAATTATTTCGACTGACCAGTAACACTACAAGCCACATCCCCTCCAACTATGAAAAATTAAGTCGAGGTCAGTTAATTCAAAAGATTCAGACATTGGAGAATCGATTAAAAAGAAATGACGTTTTGCCACCCAATAAACCTGGTCGAAAACCTTTCGACGTAAACCGTTATGTAGAACGTCGCATTGCGTTAAAGGTAGCTTATCTCGGCTGGAATTACTCTGGATTTGCATCACAGGGCGACGAGAATACAACTCCAACCGTTGAAGGACAGTTGTTCAAAGCATTGACAGCCTGTAAATTGATTCAGCAGGCCGACAATTGTCAATTCACTCGATGCGGAAGAACCGATAAAGGCGTTAGTGGACTAGGACAAGTAGTGGCACTAAATGTCCGAGGTACTAACAGTAAATCTGACACTGTCAAGGATCCCTTACCGTATGTTGAAATTTTAAATCGATTGCTGCCTGACGATGTTCGTATTTTGGCCTGGGCGCCCGTCGGTCCTTCATTTAATGCACGATTTGATTGTAAATCAAGAACATACAAATACTTTTTTGAGAAAGGCCAACTGGATTTAGAATTGATGAGAACTGCTGCTAGTTATATGACTGGATCTCATGATTTTAGAAATTTCTGTAGGCTGGATCCATCAAAAAATATCACCTGCTACGAACGAACCGTTTTGTCATTGGAAATTAAGCCACTGAGTGACGATTTTTACGAGGTTGAGTTAAAAGGAACAGCGTTTTTATGGCATCAGGTTCGATGCATTATGGCCATTTTGTTCTTGGTGGGGCAAAAATTGGAAAAACCAGAAATCGTGAAAAACCTGTTAGACATTGACCTAGTACCGGCAAGACCCAACTATCCTATGGCAAGTGATTTGCCACTCATGCTTTATGACTGCGAATTTGAAAATATGAATTGGATTTACGCAAACGAAAATAATACAGCAAAAATCACTACTCCTTTAAAAACATATCGACATTTTCATGAGTTGTGGAATACACATATTATCAAAGGGCACTTATATAGGACTGTGTTACAACAAATTGAAAGCAAGGCTATTAATGATGGTACAGATGTAAGAGGCCGTATCAATGCAAGTGACAATAAGCAATCGACGGTTCTATTAGGAGCAGGTAGAACTCTTAAATCCGCTAAATACAAACCATTATTGAGTAGACCTAAAGCAGATTCTGACCAGGTCAAAAAAGAAAAATACCGAATTAGACAATTGAATAAAATCAAGTAGACCCTCACATATTGTCAATAAATGAACTCAATGCAGTTACGGCTTCTCTTAGTCCCTATGTGTAATTTAAACAATTTTAGTTTTTGGCGTTATTTAAAAATATCGACTAATCACGGTGCAACCTGAGCTTTTTGTGCAAACTCACATGAATACTACTACTATGCTCCTGAATATAAAATAAACAACTATGAAAAAAAAAAAATTTACTGCGCGAAAGAAACAAACAAATTTAAAACAAGTACTTCACTTCAACAAGAACATAATCAAAACAACCAACATGTTCAACATATTGAATAATTATCTAACGGAATTTTAGCGTTATTTTATTGCAGAAAAGACTCGACTCAGGTCGTACAAAAAAGCAGAATATGACCCAGGCATTCTGTATATGAATTACATCACTTCTTCTAGAAAGTACTTTTGGGATGTTATTGACCTGAAGTCATCATGATTATGCTTCTACCCCATGACTAAATATAGGCCGTATCCATTGTTCTGTTGATATGTGCCTATGTGCCTATGTACCTCTATGCAGTGTCCGTCAAGGCTGCAGAAAGTTGTATTTAAACAAGTGTGGAATAAAAAGAACGTTTTCAATAGAAAGAAAAAAAAAGTGTTTATTTGGAGGGGGGATACATGGTATTTTTTTATACAAATTATGTGACACTATTTAAAGCACTGGTATTTAAGCAGGAGTGAATTGGACGTAGATGTGGACTTCACCGTGGTTAGACAAACCCATCTTGGTAGGTAACTTGACCCAGGCATCAATAGGGGCACCATTGAAGGCCTCCTCATAATCGAACTTGCAGTCTCCGATATCATCGGAACCAATCTTATCCTTGTCGAGGACATTGAGGGTAAGCTTGTGCTTACGGCTTTCACCCAAGTTGAAAGTGAAGGTCTCGTTCCAAACAGGGTTGTTGCTGTTCTCAATAACAGTAGTGCGTTGCTTGTAATCTTCATCAATATAGATTTCACTATTGATAAAATACCCGTTAGATCACTTATTTTTAACCCGTAAAGTCCCTTCTTTTCTATTTTCAAACACAACTTACACATAAGGATCATTCTTTCCCATGAAATCTTCACCGTGGAGCTTACGAGCTTCGACTAAAGGAAAGAAATTACGCGTTTAATACGAGGTCTTTTTCACCAACGATATATTAAGTTTACTTACTGATAGTGACGCTAAGGGTACCGGCGGGATATTTGGAGAACATTGTTATAAAATAGTTTTTTCAAGTAATTTGAATAAAGAAAAAAGAAAACCTATTTCGTAACAGTGAGTTCTTTTTATACTTTTTTCTTGCTTTGTTTAGCATGATGTACTTTCCAAAAGTTACCAATTTTAGACTCTTGGCCGAAATGGAGCTCAGCTCGCATAAACGACAAGCCCGTCAGCTATAATTAGAATGGCATGAGTAATGACGTAAGTTTTGTAACACAGTAAAAGCCTGTATACATTTTTTTTGCTCGTGATTTTATTGTTCGCTGTCTATTCTAAATACAAATAATGAATTTAATTTCAGTTAACAGTATACATGCCGTAAATAATCAATAATGAAATAAGGGGCCGTGATAAGTACATAAACATACGCGTATCCGTGTAACTGTGCTCCAGGATTTAAATTTTAAAGATTTTGTGTCCTCGAACGGATAATAGGACCATCTATCCGCCAAAAAGATAAATTTGCCCGGTAATTTATGAGCAAATTCGTTTGCCTGATATGTCTTAACATACACTTCACCCTAAATCAAGCTTTTTCCGACCCATTTTTCCTTATTTCGGGATTGAATTAATTTGATAAGTCATTATCAAATGTCTATGAGGGACTCATTCACGTAAACTTACATTCTTACCAAGTAAAATCGGTTGTTTTAGTGTCCTTAATCCAATGATGAGTACATGTACGTAAACCTATTTCCATGTATGTCAGCGTCATTGTTTTTTCTTCGGGATAAATATGCATTTACTGCACTACCTTGGGAACCAATGAGCAAGGGACAAATTGTATTACTTTTAATATGACAGCAAGGTCATAACAAGTTGATACCTTGACTGTGCATTCATATCATGTCTTTTTTTTTTCCACTTACTATTTCAATCAATGGGGTTACATCAACGTGTATGAGATGCCCTTTTTTTTATATGTTTATTATATGCATGTAATATATAGTAGGGCTTTCTTTTTTTTTGAGCGCCAGATTAAATTAAACTAATCTCTAGATTGTATGCTATTAAAAATATAATCTGGAGTGTCTGTGGAGAAATCTAACTTTTCACAAATTGGGGAATCACACGATACATTAATAGGTGTTCTCAAAGCCAATTCTTCATGACTATTGGCCGGGGATATCGATGATGATAGCAAAGGTGGTGGGAACGACTGTCGTACAGTTTTATCAGGAAGAGGACTGTGTATTGATTCAGAATACATCAAAGCAAGGTCTTCGCTGCTTATACTATTGCTACGTCTGTGAGGTGGCAAGGTTGAATAACGGGAAAGGTCAGCATCCATAAATGATGCATCTCGTCGATAACATTCATCGGAACAATATACTGAATCCTAATTGTTATTCATTGAGTTTATTTCATTTTATTTCACTACTCGAATGTCTAAAAGCTCACATACCGAGTATGGACTCACTGCGCAATCGCAAAATGTGCACCAATTTGTATCGCACATTAATCGAAATAAAATCTGATTTGGATAAATTTCTGGTGTTTTGGGATATTTCTTTTGATAATTTTATTTTATTTGGATCCACACTGCTGGGAAGTATATAAAGAAAATTAATTAAAATCACGCCGATTGAAACATGTTGTAAGGTTGTTAAACAATATATTTTACAACACCCAGAAAGGCATTCGTATTTTCCAAAAAAAAAAAAAAAATGACAAGATGGTCTGTCATCGGGGGAAAAAAATTCAACAATTTTACTTTGGGCTATCCCCACCGTCATAATGAAAAATATTGGTAGCAATGTTTATCCCTAATTTCCAGAAAGCTTAAGACTTTACTAGGAAACAAGGTTATTACTCGGATGTGCCACTATTGAATGCAAAGACACCCTTGACATAACTTTCATTTTGTTGGGGTGAAACCTGTTTTACGAGGCTGGATCACTCTCTGTCTTAACAAGTGGAAAACGTCACTAAAATGGCTACCGTAAGTCAAAATCAAGAATGAATATACCCGCACTTCAATTAGAGCGGCCATCAGAAAATTGACGCCAACAATAAACCCCAGGCTTATCCAGATCTGACAAGAAAAAAAAATTTGGAAATGTTTGGGAGATCCCTTTCAATCAGATTACGGACTAATGACACGTTATCGCAACAAAACAAATAGGTCTAGCAATTATTTTTGAATTTATTTTATTGGGTGTGAATCGGACTATTGACCGCGTAAAACTATATTTCAAAATACCCATGAAGGTTTTACATTAAATGTATCCTATATAAAAAGGCTTACTTCTTTCCACCCCCAACCAACTTGTTATAAATTCATATTTATTGTAGTTTATATATTTAAAAAATGGTTGTTAAAGTTGGTATCAATGGTTTTGGCCGTATCGGTCGTATTGTTCTCCGTATCACCGAAGAGAAAGATGATGTTCAAGTTGTCGCCATCAACGATCCTTTCATCCCCGTTGATTACATGGCATATATGTTGAAGTTTGATTCTGTCCATGGTCGTTTCAAGGGTACCGTAGAAACAAAAGATGGTAAGCTTATCGTTAATGGTCATGCTATCTCTGTCTCTACCGAACGGGATCCTTCCAATATCCCTTGGGGTCAAGCTGGTGCCGATTATATTGTCGAATCCACTGGTGTCTTTAAGGAAATCGAGCCTGCATCTGCTCACATTAAGGGTGGCGCTAAGAAGGTCATTGTCACTGCTCCCTCCAAGGATGCTCCCATGTTTGTTTGTGGTGTGAATCTCGATTCTTACAAGTCAGAATATAAGATTATTTCTAATGCTTCTTGTACTACAAACTGTCTTGCCCCTCTTGCCAAGGTTATCCATGACAATTTTGGTATTTCCGAAGGTCTCATGACTACTGTCCATGCTACTACTGCCACACAAAAGACCGTCGATGGTCCTTCTCACAAAGATTGGAGAGGTGGTCGTGGTGCTGGTGCCAATATTATCCCATCTTCTACTGGTGCCGCTAAGGCTGTTGGTAAGGTTATTCCTTCTCTTAACGGTAAGCTTACCGGTATGGCATTCCGTGTCCCCACACCCGATGTCTCTGTCGTTGACTTGACTGTTAACCTTGAAAAACCTGCCTCTTACGATGAAATCAAGGCTGTCATCAAGAAGGCCTCTGAGACTACCATGAAGGGTATTCTTGGTTATACTGAAGAGAGTGTTGTAAGTTGTTAATCATATATGATTGTAACATAGAAAAAAAGAAACTTAATTTTAATGTAATACAGGTATCTACAGATTTCGTAGGTGAATCAATTTCTTCTGTCTTTGATGCTTCCGCTGGTATTCAACTCTCTCCCACTTTTGTCAAGCTTGTCGCTTGGTACGATAACGAATATGGTTACTCCAACCGTGTTGTCGACCTCTTAACTTACGCTGCCAAGACCGATGGTGCTCTCTAAACTGTATATAATCCAATTATTTTGATTCATTTAAATCTGTAAATATGTTAATAAATGAGCTCATATAAAAGAGCGAGAAGTTTCACTTCTCGTATTTTGTTCCAACATTATAAAACATTACAATTGCACGCAATTACTGGCTTTCTATTTCAATTTAGTAACTAATCAAAAATTCCCGGATAGTAATAAAACAGTCGTCACTTAACATGAGTATGAGTAAAGTCTACATATTTATTAAGAAGATTTTTACTAAACTTTTTAAAACTATACCACAATTATTATATATATGCTCGTAGATGTATCGAAAAATCTCTTGTTTTCAAATATTATAATAGAAGCTACCAGGGTTTAAGGAAAAACATATTTCCATCCTACAAGTGTCATCATATTCTGAGCAATCACTTTATGTATTTTTTATTATTTCTTTGTATACTATGTCTGTATATATAACTTTCAGTTGTTTCTGCATAATTAAAAAAAAGTGCTGCTATAAAGTAGTCGGCTACATTTAGTATATAAATAACACGCCAATAAGGATAGAATTTTTATTATGGTAGAAAATATTTAAGCATATTTAGTTCTTGTTATCGTAGAAAGGGTAATCAGTATATCCCTTAGCTTCGTTGCTATAAAAAGTACTTCTATCATACTTGTTAAATTCCCATCCATTTTGCAAACGGTCAGGAAGATCAGGATTAGCAATAAAAGCACGACCAAATGAGATCAAACTACCAGTCTTTTCAGCAAAGTCAATGGCATGATCACGGGCAGTGGAAAATCCAGATGAGGTGACAAAAGGACCTTGCCAAATATCACGGAAAGACTTGAGTGAGTCAGGAGAAGGCGTGTCGACGTCTGACATGAAATTGGCACGAGGTTCAATGAAATGAAGATAAGCTAATTGAGGATGCTTTTTTTGGATTTCCCTAGTAATGTAACCCCAAGTTTCTTCAACAGTATCATCTTGCATACCTTGAATAGCGCTACCGGGGGAAAATCGAACAGAAGTACGTTCAGCACCAACGGCCTCGACAACAGCATCAATCACTTCAAGCACAAATCGACATTGGTTCTCGATCGATCCACCATAGATATCTGTACGCTTGTTACTGCTACTGTTGATAAATTGATCAGGGAGGTATCCACTAGCAGAATGAATTTCAACACCATCAAATCCAGCCTCGTTTACAGCGTTCAGAGCAGCTTGACGATACTGCTCCACAATGGCCTTGATCTCATCAATTTCAAGAGCATGAGGAACTTCGTAGTCACCACCACTCATGTTTTTACCTTCAATAGCAATAGCAGAAGCAGAAACAATTTGCTCACCTTTGGGATTCAAGTATTTGGAGCCAGTACGGCCTAAATGCCATAGTTGAAGAAAAATGCTGGCCTTCTTTTCACGAACGGCAGATGTAACCTTCTTCCAGGCTTCAATTTGCTCTATGTTGTAAATACCAGGAGCACGTGGGTAGCCACCAGCAAGACGGTCAATAAAGGTAGCTTCAGAAACCAAAAGTCCACCATCACTCGATCTTTGCTTATAGTATTCAACCATAAGATCAGTAGGGACGGCTTCAGGAGAGGCTCTGAATCGGGTCAATGGGCTGAGAACAACACGATGCTTGAGTAAGTTGTTACCAACTTTGATAGGAGAAAAAAGAGCTTTGGAGTTCATATTTAGAGTGAGAGAATAAATTGTTATTGTAGAAAAATAAACCAGGATCAATAGAATCAGGCTTCTTTTATATGCAAGTCCTGTCAATGGATGAATAATTCAAAAAGTTTATTCGAAGGTGTCACAATAGGACTTTTAATATTTCGGCTCATTCATAATTATAGCCTTTATTATATCATGGAATAAACTCGATACATATTATATTCTTGATAGGCTAATACAATAATATTATGTATTGACACATTATAAATCTAATAGAAGTTTATCTGCTGCAGTAACAATGCAGGTTAAGCTACAATTGCCACATTGATTATAAATCTACCGCACGGTAAACGGTAACCAAAAGATGCCGCTTCCGCCGGTATACTTTTTCAACACCGACATGCGTCCTGCACTCATAAAACTCTCTTTTGGCCTGATCTAGCATTTGCGTATCTTTAAACTATTCAGTAACCTCCAAATTTTAGCTGCTTGTGATATAAAAACAACCTCGTGCTTTGAGATAAACTAGGCCCCATCTCTAAACCATGACTATCATACGTTAGGTGATTTAATATCTTTTTATAATAAAAGTGAGGATTGAATTCCAATTTTAACCCATTTTCGAGATAAAGCTGCTGAACAAGGAGGCTATTAGACATCGATAGATAAGACGATGTAATATAATTTAAGTATACTTTCCTTCATTTAATGTTAATAAGAGCGATATTCTGGAGCAAAAAGAAATTCCACGGCTAATTCGTTGTTGCTTCTTCATAAAATAAGACCCAAAGATGACAGTCGATACGTGGTTTGACTTGCAAAATTGAAAATAGGTATGTATACGAATAATTTCCTTTTTTCGCTCTGACGATACTAATTTGATTTAACAAAAATTTAGCCCTATGATTTAGGAGACACGGCAGGTTTTAAACTCTATATTCAACAGCAATTAAGGCCTTAATAATCACGCAGTTATTTTTCTCAAAAGATAAATATCAAAAAAACAGAGGGGAGGTTTATTTCCTACCGCTTTAGATGAGATGCAAGGGGAATCGTTCTCTTTTGCAATTATCCGTATAAAATTGCCATCTTCCGCATAAACTGATGATCGCTTTTTAAGTCAAATATCTGGCATAGATGGCTACTATTTTTTTTCAACTTTTGGAATTGTTTGTTAGTTTGACTTTATATGTTTAATAGTTCTATAATAATTCTTTTCAATTAATCCTTAGAAATTTAAATAAATATTTTGTATTTTTATATCCGTTGTTATTAAGGATATATTCTTGTTCGGCAAGAAAACTCTGATTGAATGATGGTTTAAATATTCAAATACACTGTAAATAATTGGGGGTTACGCTTAGATAGTTAGTCGACAAATGTTGGAAGAGGAAGTTAACTGTTTTCAGATGTAGTACAATTATCAATTATGAGATGTATTTCCTCCCAATGATTACAAAAAGTATGTTTGGTAACTTTTTTAGTCTGATTTAATGTTGATACAAAATTTTATGAAACAGAATAAAGTAATCCTTAGCTTAACTTCATATTATTTTTTGACGTTTGGAAAGAAACCAACAAGGCGGTCCATAAACGATACCACTATGGCCCTGCATCTCCACAAATGTACAAAGTGATGTGCCAGTAGAGATTAACAGTGCATTTAAAGCATCCGATTTGGACCTATCTGATTATTTATAAAAATGGGCAATATGGAAAAAGTCATAGGTCTTACAGAAACACGATTTAGATATACACTCTTCTTTCCAACGGATGAGTATGCTTACAAATTAGGGCTATTACTATCAAACCAAGAAACTTTAAATTATGCAGAAATATCTTTGGCATCAAATCGTTGACTGGCACGTGTTCGAATCGCAGTTTGTGTAGTAAAATATCATGATTAAGATGACAAGAATTCCAAATAAAAAAAAAAGTGAAGAGTTTGAGGATGTCTACAATGAAGTGTTTTTTGAATTCCTAGCTTTATTTTTCTGTAATCCTTACAAATAGTCCTTTGTTATGAGTGCTATTGTATAGGTTACACGGTACAACACCATTTTGAGTGTCACGATCACCTCTTTTTGATAAAAGCCAAGACCAACTTTATAATACGCGACAACATAAAACTTTACCGCCTTCGGGCCCTTTTTTTTAACACCATGTGTTTGGCTTAGCTACCATTTAGTTTTGCTTAACGTGATACAAATCTCTATTTTTAGGTGATTCCCTGAATCTTGATTGTACCTTTAAATTATGTACAACTTCCCGAAAGCCCAAGATTAACATTCAAGCAAATTACTTCCAGTAGTATCACAAAAGTAATCTCTCTTTAGTAAAGTTGTGCTACCCATAGATATATATGCACAATATATTAATCAAAAAGAAGTGATAATACATATTATTTATAGATTTGATGAAAGGGAAAAAAAACTATCTAAAAATGTTTCAATTGACAGAAGTAAACAAACTATTCTTTGCTGTTGTAGAAGGGGTAATCTGTATATCCTTCAGCTCCGTTAGTATAGAATGTGCTTCGATCATATTGATTTAACTCCCATCCATTTTGCAAACGGGCTGGAAGATCAGGGTTGGCAATAAACGCACGACCAAATGAAATCAAGTTACCGGTCTTTTCAGCATACGCAAGGGCATAATCGTGTGTGGTCGAAAATCCAGAGGCTGCAATAAAAGGTCCCTTCCAAATATCGCGGTAGGGCTGAAGTGAATCCTTAAAAACCGTATTTGTATCTCCCACAAAGTTTCCACGAGGTTCAACAAAATGAAGGTAAGCTAATTGAGGATGGTTTTTTTGAAGTTGTTGCGTAATATAACTCCAAGTCTCTAAGGTCGTATCATCCTGCATATCATGAAATTCACTATCAGGGGAGAATCGAATAGCCGTACGCTCTTCTCCCACTGCATCTACAAGTGCATCTATCAACTCGAGTACAAACCGGCTACGATTCTCGATTGATCCACCATATATATCTGTACGCTTGTTGCTATTTTTATTGATAAATTGATCGGGAAGAAATCCACTTGCTGAATGCACTTCAATACCATCAAAACCAGCTTCCTTCACCGCGTTTAAAGCTGCTTGTCGGTACTGCTCAATAATTTCTTTAATTTCATGAATCTCGAGTGCACGGGGGACTTCATATTCCGTAAGCACCAAAGGTGTACCCGTGATAGGAATGTCCGAGGCAGAAACAATTTGTTCTCCGTTGGGATTCAGGGTCTTGGATCCTACACGACCTAAATGCCAGAGTTGAAGAAAAATACTGGCCTTGTTTTTATGGACAGCAGAGGTCACTTTTTGCCAACCTTCAATTTGTTCGCGGTTATAGATACCAGGTACGTTGAGATAACCACCCGCAAGACGATCGATAAACGTAGCTTCAGCAATCAAGAGTCCACCTTCGCTCGCTCTTTGTTGATAGTATTCCGCCATAAGTTTAGTGGGCACCGCTTCAGCAGTTGCTCTGAAACGAGTTAAAGGACTAAGAACAACACGATGTTTAAGTAAATTGTTACCAACTTTGATGGGAGTAAAGAGATTTTGAGGGCTCATATTTTTTTTAGCTTTAGGAGTGGTAGTAATTTTAAAGAAATTAAGAAATTAAGAAAAAATAATAAGGGAAAGATGCTTTTTTTCTTTTTATGCATAATTACTATGAATAGATGAATAATCAAAAGAAATGAAATGAATAATACGAACCAAAGTAGCTGTAGTACATAACCGGTAATCTTTCTATATGATCACCACGTCGCAGCAAACTGTGAAACACTAAAACCACCAGCTGATCCTATTTTCCCTCTATTCTGAGTGAATACATTTTTATGTACTTTCCTAATTTAGGCCGCTCTGAAGATTGACTTTTGGAACTACGAGGAAACTCTTTTTGCTTATTAAGATATTTTTGACATAGCTTTTTTTTTCGGCACTTTAATTTTTACTACTACTTTAGCTACCCCAGTTCAGGGGCATATCTTTGAACACACCGACACGCTTCTAATACAATCTGATAAATGGATATACCCTATTACTTTTGATGAAATATGGATTCTTTTATTTATTTTTTTCAAAAAAAGTTCACATTTAGTACATCTATAATAGCACAGGGGTTATTTCTATAAAATCGATATCGTAGGGTAGCGTTTTCATATATCTTTATTTCTTGTGATAGTAATTATTAATTTTTTTAAAGCTCTTAAAGATTACATCTACCCTTGTCTCAATAAAGCAGTAGCAAAAATAAGCATTATAGTATTCAGTCAAAAGTGATGGTTGCTGGGACCGAAGCAAAACGCCAACTGATACACAAACATATTTTCTATTTATTCGGATAAATTGTTTCCATAGATTGGCCTGCATATTTCTGGACGACAAAAACATGCCAATCACTGAGGTATTGTGACACGTTCAATCAAGGCGCTGTTGGATCTTAATTATAAAACCCATAGGCTTAACAGTTCATGTGCAGTAGAGGCCTAAAAGATCCGAAAAGCATGTTGAATATTTCAAATATCCGTTTAAAAAAAATAGTTAAAGTAAAAAAATTAGTGGGTTCGGTGTCATCTCAGTTTGTGCATTAAGTATCTATACGAATACTATTAAATATTGAATATGATGAATTAATCATTGTTTCCTGAGCAATTTTTTCTTTGGCAAATAATCTAATCACTAAAGAGGAAGAATTAGTCAAACGACTACACCTTTTCGGAATTCACTTCATTCTAGTGGGTTTGTTGATTTACGGACATGATTAATCCATCATATAACCGCTCTATTTCATCATTTTTTCAAAAAAAAAAAAAAAGGGGGTAAATTCTTCCGAAAAAAGAAATGACCGTAATCGTCGCATGACCGTATTCAACAGCCAGGCTCTATAATTTAATAATCTTGGACTCGGCAAGCAATTTAGTATATATATACCTCAGTAATGGCAACATTTTCTTTTATTACATCTAGACCTTAAATAAATAATGACCACTAAAGCCATTTTTTCACCCATTCAAGTTGGTAAACATCAACTTCAACATCGTATTGTGCTTGCTCCTCTGACACGTTTGCGAGCCACATTGGAGGCTGTACCTACCGATCTCCAAACAGAATACTATGAACAACGTGCTAGTCCTGGTGGTCTTCTTATTGCTGAAGCCACATTTATTAGTCATTATGGTGGATAGTTTCCCCAATTCCCTGGTATCTACACATCCCAACAAATCGAAGCCTGGAAAAAAGTGACCTCTGCCGTACATGCCAAAAAAGGTGTAATTTTCTTGCAAATTGCACATTTAGGTAGGGCCGGTTCTAAGCAATTTCATCCCAACGGCAAACAAGTAGGGTCTTCGTCTGATGTCGTTATTCCCGGTGAAAACTATATGGGTCCTCCTTTTGAGACGCCTAAGCCTTTCACGGTAAAAGAAATTCAATCAACCATCCAAGACTATCGTCAAGCAGCTTTAAATGCCATCGAAGCTGGTTTTGATGGTGTGGAAGTTCATGCAGCTAACGGTGTGTTAATTGATCAATTCATCGATAGTAGTGTCAATACACGTGCAGATGAATACGGTGGTTCTATTCAGAACCGTGCTCGCTTTGCTCTTGAAGTGCTCTCATCCATTGTGGAAACCATAGGCCCTAACCGTGTTGCTATTCGCTTCTCTCCTGATGGCAAAATGCATGGCATGGGTGACGCCACCCCAATCGAAACTTGGTCTTATTTAACGACGCAAATCCAAAATCTTTTCCCGGAACTTGCCTACCTTCACTTTATCGAAGCGCGTGGAGATGTCTACGGTGAAACTTCTAACGTGCATGATTCCTTAACACCCTATCGCTCTCTCTGGAAGGGTCCTTTCATTACGTCTGGCGGATTTTCTAACTCGCTTGAACAAGCATTTCAAATAGCTGAACAAACTGGTAATTTAATCTCATTTGGTCGTATTTTTATTGCCAACCCGGATCTTCCTCAGCGCCTCTTAAACGGTGTACCCTTGACACCTTACGATCGAAGTACTTTTTACACGCATGATGCTGAAGGGTATACTGATTACCCAAACTTTTCCAAGCATACTTGAATCTAAAGCTTATTATAATACGTTGAATCACTCAATATGTAGCTACTCAATAAACTTTACACTTCTTAAAAAACATGCCTATTATAAACAGTCTATATTGTAAATTAGGGCTTAGGGCTTAGGAGGAATGACCACCTGATTTATTAGACAATCTTCATATCTATGTCGTGGGACTATTGTTACGTAACAGCCAAGTATTATTTAGAGGATAAAAGATTATTTTATATAGCTGTCGGGCCGGTACCACTGTTTATCCAGAGGTGGAATTGATGGACCAAGCTGGCACGAAGATTTAGGCCAACAGTACCCAAAAGGCTAAAGCGAGTAAAGAAGGATGCTGCATGAGAGCATCGGTGTCCAAATTGTATTTTTATATCTTAAGTTTCACAGAGTATCAATAAAGAGTATCTTTTCCTCGCATAAAATAAAAATAATATTGGCCACGCCATACAGCTGCGCCGCAACGACTCAATTGCCAGACATTAAGACAATTGACATAGCAACATATTCCGTGTGACCTAAGCCACGACGTCTACACGCACTTATTTTCAACAAAAAGTTGCAAAAAATGTCGTCGCCTGCAGGATTTGAACCTGCGCACGCAGAGCGTATATGATTTCTAGTCATACTCCTTAACCACTCGGACAAAGCGACTTGTACTTATTTTGGTAAAAACGCGTGTTAAAATTATTTTATTTAAAATGCTTCTGAGCATCACGTGACATACACGTGGGAGCTCTCTTACTGGTTGGATAAACCATTTAGGATCTTGGGTGCTGTAAGTAGGAGGCACCGTGTTATGGTCATTTTGTTCAATAAATATGACCCTATATTTATTTTATCTAGAAATATATCTTGATTTCCATTGTTTGTTGAATATTAATTTGTATTATTGATAGCTGTTGATTATATCGATTATTTGTGAAAGTTTACAACTACTCTCTGCAGATTTCAGAGACGATACTAGTGCAGCCCACATTTTCTTCTGTTAAAAGTATCTAATTAAAGGTCTTAAAAGTTTCCTTGTATATTAGTATGTGTTGTGATTATTCATGGTATAAATATATCGAGCATGATTTAGTAATAATTTACCCAATATAGATTTAGTTAGCACTATAGATAAGATATCACATCATAAGGTTACAATATGACAGTAACTAAGGCTGTAATATTACACAACAAGACATGGAAATACAACAAGTCTGTCTAAGATGACAGTACTTCCGGGTGTAACATATCTACAAATTAAGCAGCCAAGGATAACATTATAAGTATTAGACAATAATAACAAGATACACTAAAGATAGGGGCACAGCAATAATAATCTTTTAATGTAATTACTTGATTATTTTATTTCATAATAAAGAAATGATCTCAAACTATTCATAGACTGCCTTATAACTTAACTTACTTCAAAACACAACAGCTTCAAGTCAATGGCTTACCAGAAACGGGCAAGTCTTTTTGAAACGAACAATAGTGACAGCGTTCACTTATCGGGAGATGCCGCATTGCATTATCTTGTATGACTAAAACTCCTCGTTCCTCGCTACTTGAACCAGAATGGGTGTACATTGTTGCTTTTGTAAAGCTATGGGACATACCAAAGAAAAGTCTTTATTGAGCCCAAAAGATAAATACACATGTCATTCTTGTCAATTACCCTGATATCGCCATCAATTGTCTTCATAATCCGTTGGATGTGTCCAAGCTACCTCGTAAAAGGGACCAAAATAAGCTTCTGCTTCTCGGAACATAGCCTCAGTCAAGGGAGATTATCGGTCGATAGTTACTTTGGGGGTTTTCTCTCTTCGTCTTCTCCCTCTTTGCTGGTACTTTCACGCAGGAATTCGATATTGTATCTACTGATTCTATCAGCACCGATAAAATTATAACCACCCCCTAAATGGTCAGTGCTTTTCCAAACAGCCAGCAGGATACTAATGGTTTTGAAAGATTCGAACCCTCAAGCATGTTTGATTTTTGTACACCATTTCTTGACATGCCTTCAATTGCATTGTTATGCAGCGTACATTCAATTTTTGCTTAATAATCGGTATTGCCCCAGTAAAAAGTTGCTTCTTTGATAATTTTGCATCAAATCGATTTAATAATAAATCGTTACTATTGCTGCTGCTCGCGGTAGCATCATATGTACAAGAATCCTTGTGCTGTAAGTTACAAAACAAAGTCTTTTGTTCGATGGACTATTATTAGAATGAATGATAATAGCTTTTGATCTTGTCGAAAAAAAGCATTTATATAATTGACAAATGACTGGCAGAAGAGAACGTCCTTCTACATCGAGGCTCTCTGGACTGTAAGCATCAGAATGCATTGAAACGGCTTTTGTGTTGGGCAATTTATGATATTGGAGATGTAGCGACTGTTTAAGTAGCCTTGTCAGGAGAAACCAACATGTAAAGGAATATGCTTCTTCAGTTAAATCATCGGCTTGAGAAGTTTACTAGGCAAACCAACCTTCAACATCTAACTCATTGCCTTGAACACTCCTGATCTTCGGCATATTAATAAAATATTAGGGTTACATGTAAGCTTAATAAAAATCCTCACAGAGAGCTTACGTAGTCGCCCTTGCTTTTTTTCATCATTCTCAGGTTTTTTTCTTATTTTAATAGTTCAAGATGTATGGATGTGAAAGAAGAGATATTTTAATAAAAGCGGCTTTCATCAGTTAAATGCAGATTAATGTCAATTCTAAATGCAAAAGTATGACAGCTGTGATTACCTGACGCGTATCTTTCATATGATCAGACATTGTCGCAGACAGTCGTGTTTAAAAGACAAGTTTGGGCTAAGATGTATTAGAGATACCTACTCTTGGGAGGGAGGCGTGCACCAGAACTTGATTTATAGGTTTCAGTCATTTGATGCTGTTTTTGAACTTGTCAATACCATAAGCACCAAGTGCTGTCTTAGGCATAATATCGATGTTGGAACAGTAACTCGATTTGCCTGTATAGCCTATAGATTTAGTATGCTCTAAGCTCAGTATGTAGAGAGTAATTAGTCATATGTATTGTAATATAAATGCCTTCAAGTACTGTGGGTTGGAAGAAATGTTTGGGATGTGCCCCTTACCAGAAGACGAAATTATCAACTAGGAAACGAAAAGGCAGATTTAGGTGTCTAACAGCAACGTAACTTTGAAGAAACCGAACTCACAATCCCTAAGCTACAGGAGACAGTGTACTTGGTGTTGGCTCAACAATTTGCCCAAATATAGCTTTATATTACATAAATGATTTAACATCTGGAGTAAGACTTCAAAGGCCAGGGTTTTATTAAGTAAAATTGTCCAATCATATTTATATTTAACACCTGAATTTCCCTGACATGTAACCCGTTATAAATTAATGAGGCCGTTGATCCATTTCACTGTTATTATTGTACATGCCCGTCATCATCATATCTGTTTTGTAAAAAAAAAAAAAGTCAGCTATGATATACTAGGCCAGCCTTACATTTTACTTACCATAATTTTTTTGCCCCATCAATATGTTATCCCACGGCGAAGGTGAGGAGGAAGATGACTGTGTAGGCGGTAGAGGGGGTGCTGCGGGTTTTGATTTCTGGGTTTCGCCAGCCGCGGTATTCAAGATGCCATAACCATTCATCAATTGTATAGGAGTCAACATGGAACTATCCTGCTGTTGGTTTTGTTGCTGCTGCTGTTGCTGCTGTTGGTTTTGTTGCTGTTGCTGTTGCTGTTGTTGTTGTTGATGCTGCTGCTGTTGTTGCTTCGAATCGATTTGAACACCCAAGTAACTTGACAGATCCTGATAACTAAGACCTGTATTATTCGTGGTAGTGTTGGTGGTGTTGGGAGAAGGATGAAATCCGGGTGTCTGAGGGTGAAGTTGCTGTTTTTCATTGGGTATAGTTGCTGTGTTTGTATTGATTTCTTTTAAGCCTTGTAATTTACGCCATTCATTAGTATACCTTCTTAAATTGTAATCGATAGTCAAGAACCAATATTTTTCAAAGAATTCGGAAGGAAGTTGCCAGTTGCCAGCAATGGCTGGATCCCCGCCATGAAATACGGAACCCGCTAATAAGCATCTGAAACAATCATCCAGGTCGAATTGATCTCTGTAGAGGATCATTCGGTCACGCATGTGAGGTGTAGGAATTAGGTCGATACGTGGGTCATGAGGAATCGTGAGCTATTTAAAACGGAAAGGTCAGTTCCTTTTTTGTCTAGTCATTTATCCATTCAATTTTATTTTACCTGCAATAGAGTGGGTTGGATTGCAAACGGAATGGACTCCATACGAACACAAGCAGATTGAAGTCGTAACCTTAACCTTAAAGTTTGAATGGCAGCTAAATTTGAAGAGACAGGTTCATCAGCTAGCAGGACAGGTCGAGGTAACTCTCCACCGTGATCGGTGCCAAACATATTGCTTTTGTTGGTGGTATTGGAATTTAATTTCTCTTGATCGGAGGCAGACATAGGAGATAGAGGAGGAGGTACATTGTATTGACTATTATCTTCTGCAGCCGGCGAAGGTTGCTTTTGGTCATAGATGGGCTGTTGTGAATCTTTATTGGTGTTATGGTACCAACTGTTGGCAGGTGGAGTATGTTTATCGGCAACTTTCTGGATACCATCTCGTGTAACGATTAAAGAACCTTGTGGCAGTTGTTGGGGAATAGGTTGTGTTTGAAATTGCAGTACTGATCTTAAGGGATCATGAACAGAAGTTTGTTGTTGTTGGTATTGTTGCTTCATTCTTTCTTGATGCTGCTGTTGTTGTAGTTGAATGTTTGAAATCTCTGGCGAGTCGTTCATGAGCCTTGTGGATATTTGTAATTTATTTTTAGAATTGACGTTAATGTAAGCAGCAATTGTGTCTGGAATGGATTGGTTAAGGATGCCAAGAGTCTTTTCGTCAATATGGGGACAATGTTGAGGAATGACTAAGTTGTGTTGTAGACAAACGAGTTGCAAGGATAGCACGATTCCCTTGAGATACCAATTTTCAGCCTTTAAAATCTCGTTCTCGGTAGACATGGTTTCATTCTCCCGTAAAAGTTTATCTCTGTGTTCACGGATACCACGAATGTTTGTCTCTAAATCCTTCATGTGTCTTTCTTTTCGCTCTCTGAAGGCGCGTTGGGCAGCTCTGTTTTGTGCTTTACGTAAGGCAGGTGAGGCAGGGTTGGGCTTTCGGCCGGGCTTCTTTCTGATTTTGATGGGTGGTGTATCGGCAGACGATGCTGCTGGGCCCGGTTCTGGTGCTACAGTGGCTTCTGGGGAAGCGGTGGATTCTTGGTCGTAACCGCAGTCGTCAAGATCAGATAGATCCATAGCTTCTGAGTAAGAGGACGTCCCAATGATATTCTCTGACATTTCTGTATAGATATTTGTGAGGTAATAAAAAAAAAGAAAAAAAGTAAATTAAAAAAAGCCTATTTTTGATTAAATAAAAAAAAAAAATGACTGTTAATGCTCCAAATTGGAACTTCAGTTTGGGAGACCGCCCTTGCCGAGGTTAAACAATTCTTCCTACCCCATCCTCTTTTCTACCCAAATAAACTTAGCTTCGTGCATCGATTTACTTGCAGCTTTTCTTTGATGTCGCCTAATTTCTGTAGGTAAATGTTTAGCCCATTTTTTTGTCTAACTCTGTAAAATGCACGCACAACACTTTTTTTACCCCGCACTTGTTGGCGATCATTTGAGGAAAGGATCGCCTCGTATGACCGCGTTAGTCAACGTTTTTGTAAACAATACCGCTTGTAATACACGCGTTTTTATTGGCCTAATTTACGACTCAGCTTCTTTTCAATCTGCATATGGTCCCACATCAAAAAGCTTTGTTTTATCTTTGGCAGCATCCGATGCTATTATAAGTGATTAATTAAGCAATTAAATTATCCTGACATAAGTCAGCCCTCGTTTATAAGTCTGTATATATTTTTAGATTCACTAGTTAATGTAAAAAATGTACTAATATGGGTCTATTGCTGATAGCTCATCGCAACTTAGACTTGTCGGTAATAAATTATCGAAAAAGGTTTGAGGAAGAAAAATAAACGAATACGACATGACCCACTGGATAAGAGAAAATTCTCCTTATAAAAATGCCAAAATCAACGTTGTTACTCCAGAGATTACTCTTAATCTCTCCCAGAGTTTTTCTTGGGTCAAGAGTAGTCAAGTGATACATATAAAACCTGTCAATGTGCGGGCGAAAATTGATAAAGTGGGAAAATATGGGAAAAAAGTTTATGAAATCAATATAGAAAGATTTTCTTTTCTCTTTCTTGTAAAATTTTTTATTTAAAACATTATAAGGGAACTGCTGTGTTTTCTTAATCTGTCTCCAGATACTTAGTCTTTCTAAGGATCAAGACAAGATTAAAGGCTGCTTTGTCAGTCACTTTCAAAAACAGGTATCGCTGTGATAGAATGGGAAATATGAAGCGCAACCAAAGGAGAAGTCCGTCTTTAAATATCGATAAAAAAAAAAGAGCACAGGTACTCGAGCTCTCCGATTTCGAGTGAAAATGATTGTTGATAAAAATTTTAATCGTATTTATAGCAATTGACTATGGGTTGATTATTTATCTCTTTTGTCAAAATACGTGGTGAATGTATCATAGGTAGTATTTTATAGGGGGTTACGTTACTCTTCAGACCAGCTAAATATAGTGTGCGTCCAGCTAACTACAACAGAACGTGTGTTAGTTGGCGGCTTCGTATACCTTTTCTGGCTCGGAAGGAGTTTTGAATCTGTTGGAAGTAGCCGAATTTGTAAGGCTATTGATAGAAGTCCTATCGTTGAAAACGCTCGCGTTACATAACTACGACGTCTTCAACTTTATTTTAAGTAAAAAATACGAAAAATAGGTCTATTTTCTTCATTTTGCTGATGACAACGATTTGACTTCAAGGGATAATAGTGATGGCGGAACAGAGAAATCAAATGGGTATCCTTACCAGGCATTATTTGGTATAGTGGAAGCGTACCGAAGAAAGTAAAAGGGATGGTGCCTCTTGATAAGAACCTTACAAAATATGAAGATTGGGAAGCACTTTTACAACATGAATATACCGCTTTAATCGTACTGCCAACCTTAAATTTCTCGATATCGCATACCTAAAAATACATATCCTTTAAATAATAACCCAATGCACTGTTGAGGATATCATAAATAATACAAATGGTGTCATCACATAACATTAGATAAAAATAAATAATCGTATATTAGTATTTATCTTATGTCAAGTAAAGTATAATGATAGCACAATAGAGTTATACAATCTTGTAGGCCGAATATTCGATTCACTGCATATTTACATGATCACTAAACTTTTTTTTTGACATTCACGCAATTACATCAGTTAGGAGGAAGAATGTTGTGGATCCATCTGTATATTGTATTTACTTTTAAGGTAAAAATAACTTTCAGAACATTTATATTTGAGCAGACAATAAGTAGAACAGTATATTACTCTCACTAGTGCATCACACGTATTATCTCAAAGTCGTTTAATCATTTAGCATAAATGCTTGTAGCTTTTTCTAGAAGTTTTTGTCCAAATTTGCCTCGAAATAATAGATGTACAAAGTTTTAACAGTTCCATTATGTCACTAAAAAATTCAAAACTGCTCCAAATAAGATTAAGTTCAGGTGGGACGTTTCTTTCCTCCGGTTGTCCATTTATATCTTCTTTTGGGGGTACCAATTTTATCAGTGGTCTTGAGGCTTAATATGGACAATGCGTCCCATAAAATAATCTTTTTAGAAAGTGTGGAGTGTTCTCATTGTAATACATGGCCGCGCCGCCCAAAACCTTGATTATTTTTAGGGGAAGGCGCATGTGGGTGTGACAAGGTATGTTCAAAAAGCTGGGTCATGCAAGGGAATCTTTTTATAGACACAGTTTTTTTGCTGAGTTGTGGCAAAAAGAATAGTCTTGACCCAAGGACTTTTCTCGGGTAGCACACATGCAAAAGTGAGATTAAAAAGGTGGCTTGATGATGATGATCTCTCTTCTTTTTTTTTTCTTTTTCTATATTTTTCTTTCATATGTCCTCTAAACGTTTAAGTCTTGGTAGCCACTTTCTGAGCACAAAAAAAAAGGGAGATTTAACCGAACTTTTCTCGAGTTTTGATAAAGATAACAATGGTAGAATATCGTATTCTGAATTACAAGATATGCTTCAATCAGCAGGCATTAATAGTGCGGCGATTCCATCCATGGTAACAGAATTTTTTTTGTCGTTGTACATATAATATATACTCATGAAGGCTGTTAAAATAGTTGAAAGATGCGCATGCGGATCTGGACAAGGATGGCTGTTTAGCTTACGAAGATTTCGCTAGACTAATGCGACCGACATTGTCAGACCCACATCGTTCAACTTCTAAACAACAAGAGCTGAAGGAAGCCTTTGAGGCTTTTGACAAGGATGGCGATGGGTTTATTAATGTTGCTGAATTGCAAGCCATGATGGAGAAATTAGGTGATAAATTGACCTTAGCCGAGGCACAACAGTTGATTGGAGAAGTGGATTTGGATAAAGATGGTGTGGTGAATTTACATGAATTCATGATGATGATGACCGGCTCGAATTCAACACAACAACATAATCAAGAAGAGTGTACGCATCATCATCATAAGTTATCTGTAAGAAGATTGTTCTGTAGCCACAAATAGTTTTCGCACACATATGATAATGTGACGAAAAAATGCCTAGTGCTCAAATTTTTTTTTTTTTTTATAAAAATTGTACTATATATGATAACACTTGTCACCCCTTGAATGACACTCTTTTGTTTGTTTTTCGTATAGAGTATCATGCTCATGTTTCAAACCTTTTTCCTTTTTTTTATATAAACCTTCTTTGGGGGGTGATGCGGTTCTTAATTGGCATGTTAAGCGTAATGCGTCATGAAGATACACATTTGCATCCATACTATCCATGCGCATACATCGCTGAGGGAATCATTTAATGACTGCAATTGAAATACATGTGCTTAATAAATAGAATGACAGATAACATACACAATTTTTTTATTTATTTTTTAACCTTCCTTCCTTAGATATGAACTAGTCCATTTAAGATAAACGTCAGAAAAAAAAAAAAAAAGAACGAGACAAAACACTTACCGGAAGAATCCTTTTCAAAAAAATCAACATAGGGTTTCGAGCTAAATATGTTAAATTCCTGACTAGGTAATTGAACAAGAATGCCTTTCAATGCTGACTTATATTCATAAAGAACTTTTCCTCCCGCTGCTTCAACTTCTTCTCGTGCTGTTTTGTAAAGGTCGTCAGATACGGGTTTCTTGAACGCCATAATGTAGTTGACCGATGCAGCTATTTTTAATTTAGGGGGTTAGTCCGAGCGACTAAGTACAAATTACAGAGAGATTACCTTGTAAAACAGCAAAGAATAAGAATAAAAGTGCTAATGTACGTAACATGATTACTATTTGATTGAAGAAGAAAAAAGTTTTTTTTTTTTAGGTTTTACATTATGTAGGCGGGGGTGATGTCATTTACAAAAAGAAAATTCATGCAAAAAGGTCAAAAAAGAAAAAATATATTTTATTTACAAAAGGTGGGTTGGTGTGTGTGTGTGTGTGTGTGTTTGTGTGTGATATGTCTAGATGGCATCTTCCAAGATCATACGTGGCGAGATATTCATTGCCATTAATTCTTGGAAAAGCAGTTTAGCAGCATAGGGTATTTCCATGGTCTTCATATGTTTAGAACTCTTACAGAACTGACACCAACCTGCGTAACCAATCAAACCACATTTATCGCAAATATTCACCTCAAACGCATCAGAAGAAATCATTAAACGTTCAAGCAGTAACATACTCGCACCATAACCAATCAAACAATCACGTTCCATCTCTCCCAAACGTAAACCACCATCTCTCGATCGACCTTCGGTGGGTTGACGTGTAAGTGTAGCACGAGGTCCTCTAGCACGCGCATGCATCTTATCCATAACCATATGTTTCAATTTTTGATAATAAATAGGTCCAAAATAAATATAAGCAGATAATGGTTCTCCAGTGATACCAGAAGTCACGTAATCTTTACCAGCGTAATTAAATCCATGGTTGATCAAGATACGACTCATATCCTCCACCTTGGATCCACCAAAGGCCGTACCGTATTGTAAGGAACCATCCAAGACACCAGCTTTACCTGCTAATAATTCAATCATTTTACCAACCGTCATACGTGATGGGAAACCATGAGGGTTCATAATGATATCTGGACAAACACCTAAATCGGAAAATGGCATATCTTCTTGTTGAACGATAATACCACACACACCCTTCTGTCCGTGACGAGAAGAGAATTTATCACCTAATTCAGGACGACGTGTTTGTCGAATATTGACCTTAATCAAGGTTTGATCGGATTCGGTCGTGGTGAACAAGACCTTATCAACATAACCTGTTTGAGGTGACTTGTAACGTTGTGCTTGAGGTTTATAGGCCACACTTTGAGATGCACCGGGCACATTAGCATCAATACCTGTACTGACAGGGACTTGTTTATTGATAAAGACCGATCCCATTTCAAGAGGCTCGCCAACACCAGCAATACCATCAGCTTCCACAGCGTCAAACGAATCGTTCCAAAGATCTGAATTGCGTGCAGGAGGATCTGCTAAACGATCGTGAGTACCGTTAGGATAACGTTTGACCAAGTTTGCATATTTTCTCATGACTTGACAGCGACCAAAACCACGATCCAAACCGGATTTATTGAGAACCAAGGCATCTTCAATATCGTAACCAGAATAACTCATAACAGCCACGGTAGCATTTTGACCAGCGGGTAATTTATCGTAGCCGATTAATTCAATGGTTTTTGTTTTGACCATGGGTTGTTGAGGATAGACCATGAGATAGATCAAGGTTTCGATACGATTTAATTGATTGTAACCAATAGCGCCAATAGCTTGCTTACCCATTGCACATTGATAAGTGTTACGTGGGGACTGGTTATGATGAGGATAAGGAATTAAGCCTGCAACAGCACCCAAGATGGTAAAAGGTTCGATTTCAAGATGAGTGGTTTCGGGTATAATATCCTTTTCATAAACAGCGATATTGGCATCACTTTCTTCATTCACATCGACATATTCCACAAGACCCTTCTTGAGGAAATCATCAAAGGTTAACTTCTCTGCGATTAAATCATTCACATGATGTTGTTTGACAGCAGGCACACATTTCTCTACAATAATCAAAGGACGACAAATACGACCACCATCGGAAGATAAGTTGACGGTTCTTTGATGTGTATTCACAAAAACCGAGACGAATTCGGATACACGACCGGCGCGACGAAGACGACGGAAACTACGCACGAATTGTTGGACACGACGTGTGACACCCAAGATGACACCATTCATCAGGACAATAAATGTGTTGGGTTGATAGACTTCGGCACCAGTTAAAAGGTTGACATCTTCTACACCCAGGGCAAAAGCGATTTTACGGATAGGATCTTCTTCTTGATCGGTGGTAATATGAGTCATTAGAGCTAAATTCTTGACAAGACCACATGCTTCACCTTCAGGTGTATCAGAGGGACAAAGCATACCCCATTGAGAAGGTTGTAAAGCTCTTGGACCTGAAACTTTTCTGGTCTTTTCGAATTGAGATGAAATACGTGTCATCATACCCAAAGCAGAGATATAAGAGAGACGTGAGAGGACTTGAGTGATACCAGCACGATCCATTTTGAAACGTTTTAAAACCCAATTACCAGTGGAGATGGCACGAATAAAGCCACTTGTGATATGGTCACCATGCAAGACCAATTGATTAAAGATATCAAATTCTTGTGTTCGGTTTGGTTTTTTGAGGACTTTATCGGCGTTTAATTTCAAGTCTGAATTGAACTTCTTGAAAAGATCTTCAAACAACAAGGAAAGTAATTGACCTGCTAATTCCAAACGTTTGTTACCGACATAATCACGATCATCGACTTGAACTTCATCAGTCATGGCCACAAGGACACGACGAATCATAACGGCAGCATAAATACTCTTTTCTCTGAAATTTAAATTCTCGACAGGGACATGGGCTAAAATGACGGTAGCCAGGACTTCCAATGCTTCTTCCGCAAGTGTTTTACGCACAGTAGATAATTTACGATTTACTTTCACTTTTCCACCGATATAATCCAGCGCTTGCATTTGTGTAAATACACGTAAACGAGAACTCTCTTCAATATTAATGGCAAAGACGTCGTTTAAATCATGATCGTTACCACAGACCAATTGTGCAATTTCTCGGTCAGATTGAACACCCAAAGCTTTCATAAAAATGGCGACAGGAATATCTTCGGCGATGGAGTTGTGTTTTAAGTAGATTTTGTTGTGTTTGACAAAGATGGCTGTCTTGGATTTACGTTCATGCGTGGAACTACATTGTTATTAGTTTTTTTTTTCTAGTCTGTATTTAATTATTTTTGATTTACCTCTGCACGTTGGCAATGATATTGTTCTTTTTATCCACATCGACAATGATACGATTTTTCGACAATTGTTCTTGCACAAGAATAACTTTTTCTGTACCTTTGACGACGAAATAACCACCGGGATCTAAGGGACATTCTTTCATGCGAGCTAAATCCGCTTCTGTTTTACCGGTCAAGACACAGTGAGAGGAACGCAACATGATGGGTAAACGACCAATCATGACGTTCTTTCTCTTGACAATTTGTCTACCACGGGTGTATTCTACATCGACAAAGATATTTGCTGAATAAGTCAAATCACGAAGACGACATTCGTGTGGTGTGTAACTACGGTTGGCAACATCTGCGTCTGTACGTTCTGGACTACCAACTCGAATCCCTGTGTATCTATGATGTAAGGCGTTTAGCTTGTAGCCATTATTAATAATACATAGTGAGGGGGTGCTTACTTGAGGTAGAAATGAGGATCGACGTCTGAAGTGACCTTTTCATTGGCTTTAATAATCTTGCGAAGATCAACATTGATGAAATAATTAAACGAGTCGATATGTTGTTTAACGAGACCCTTGACTTTTAAAAAAGCAGGTAATAACTTCCATTTGTCCTATTATTTAAAGAGTGTCAGTTCCCCCAATGTAAAATTGCGCGTGCCTAGTGTTTATTACTTCGATTTCTTTGACGGGTGCTGATAAATGCTTTCCTTCATAAAATTCTTGCTTTAAAGGTTCGAACGAGTCCTTCTCATGGGCATGGTCATGAGTGTCTTCCATTTCTAATTAGGTTTATGTAGCTACACAAGAAAGAACGAAAAAAAAAAAAAAAAAAAAAAAAATGGAAAAAAAAAATGACAAGGGACTTTTAAAAAGGCAGTATGATAAGCCACTTAGAAGCCTATAAAAATTGATTAGTTCCATCCTTTGTAGGTCTTATAAAAACATCAAAGGTCTATTCATATATATGTTTGCCTCCAATCTACCGTATTATGAACTGCTTAAATTTGTGCTACAATGTCATATTCCCCAAAAGTCTATGTCTGAAAACGTTATGTCAGAATACCTTACGCTACAAAACCTTATCCCACAAACATTTATGCTTATATCGCTTCGAATCCCCATAATCTACAGTACTATGCCTGATTAAAATGTAATCAATAATCCACAACCCTTTTTTTTTAAATATCCCACAAGCAGCTACCTAGTTATATGAACCAACTACAAAAAAAGAAAAAAAAAATACCTTGATTGATTTTATGACAAAAATTGTGCATGTAATTTTAAAATGTTCTCAGCCAATCACCCCCTATCAGCTTAGATAAACAGAGAGAAAATGGTTTGACTTTAAAGATTGGTAAAGATGATTCAAGTGACACATTTTGGTAACTACCAACATATTTCGTCATATGAGGACCCACGTGTTAAGAAGTACAAACACCAATTATTGTAACTGTAATAAATCACAAGAGAATTTATAAAAGATGCATCTAGCTCTTTATCGCATGACCCAAGAAGTATATGAACATGGCACTCCAAATATTTAGGAGTCATAAATTATAAGAAGGTATACATATAGATTCACCAAATTACACCTCGTGTTTTAAAACAGAGTCTTACGAAGAGATCACGGGAAGAAATTTGAAAAGGGTGATCTGGTAGTAATATGCTCTTATTCGTTTTTTTTGGCGATGAGCTGTAGTGTAACGTCAAAGTATAATGAAAAGCTGTTTTGCAGTGGATTACTATGGACTAGAGGAAGAATCTTCTCGAAATAAGGGGAGGGACTGGATTTTGAAATTGCAGGGTTGCCAAGATGTAGCAGGTAAAATGCTTGGTTATTCTCACACTTGATAAAGTCAATACGTGATCACATTAAAGTAGTAGTAATAGTAGTTTATAAAGGGTATATTAAATATAAAAAGAAAATAGTTATTAAATTGTATGTTTTACATCTGTGTGGTTTGTTTAAAGTAAGCCGACGTCTCTTAGTGTAGATTGCAGTATAATATCATTGACAGCGGACATGACGAATTTAATTTGTTTTGTATCTGTAGCACAAGTAAAGTGTGTATACACTCTTTTATCTGAATTTTTCACAGTGAGGGCTTGAAACTGTTCCATGAGGAATTTGCATGCTTCGTCATAGTTTTCCCCACCTTTATATTTTGGGAAATACGTCTTTAAAGGACTAGTTTTTAACTTTTTCTTAAAGAGATCAGTCTTATTCATAAAGAGAATGATGGAAGTCTTTGCGAACCATTCCATGTCACAGATCGATTGGAATAAAGTAAGGGATTCACCCATGCGATTGACAGATTCGTCTTCAAATAGTACTTGGTCGTATTCGGAGATGGCAACCATAAAAATGATGGCAGTTACGTCTTCAAAGCAATGAATCCATTTTTTTCGCTCGGAACGTTGACCTCCTACATCGACCATACGGTAAATAAGGTCACCCACCTCAAATTTCGTCTCGGTGATACCTGTGGTTTTCACTCGTGCTCGTAGAACATCACCATCACTTGGGATATAGTCTGGACTGGAGATGCGGTCAATGGCATCAAAATAGCTATTTGCAGTTATTTAGTCAGGGTTTTTATTTTATTTTTTGAATAGGAGATTATCATGACTTACTAGGCTGCAGAATCGTTCAATTGAAATTCATTTCGTCTGCTGTATGTATATTTGACACCATCATCTTGCCATAAGAGTCGAATGGCATCAGCAATATCTGTGGGTAAATCATAATCGCATTCCATTTGTTCAGGTAAATCAGCTATGAGCTGATAGGCTTGTTGGGTTAGTGTAGGGTCTGCCAATTGAATTTTTAGCTTGTGCATGGCATTGACGATATTCTTCATGGATTCGATAAGGTTACTAAAGATGATTTCTCGATAGGATAAACGTTCTTCTTGAGGAAAGCCACAATCATGAATGATGCGCATTTGTTTCAGCAGAGTGGATTTACCGGACTCGCCAGAGCCTAACAATAATAATTTGACTTGGTTGCTCATCTTTTGGCGGTCTTTTTTGATCTGTTCATCGATTTCTTGGTCTCGTCTTTTGCCCGCATCATCTTTTACGTGGGTTGACGCACAACAGCCCATATTTTATTGATTGTTTTAGAAAGAAAGAAGAGAATAAATAAATAAAAAAAAATCGCACGCGGAATTATTATGGACGGATTAAAAGGAGACAAAAGAAGGGATAAAACCTCCTCTTTACACCTACTTTTTCGAAACATGAATGATGATAGGTTTATTTTCTTTTTTCTTTTTTCCCACTAACTTTTATTCTACATTTTATCTCCTACGGCTTGCACTAAAATATCTTTTTTTTTTTTTTCGTCACGACGCGTGAAAAATGACCAATTTCTAAAAAAGGAGACGATTGAGACGGAATACAACTTTTAATTGGTAGCGGTACTTGAATATGAGGCCCAGCGAGCTATATAAAAAAAATATTCCCATGTTTTCTTTTTTTTTTTTTTCCTTCCTTAACAACCATCAGCATAATAACAAAAACAACAACGAATGAGTAACCCGTTAAGAACCCCGCACCGATTCATTTTGGATGACGAGGAACAACCGTTTACTCCTTGCACACGTTTATCGAATATGACGATTGAATCACAAGCAAACGGCCATAGTCGATTTCGAAAAACGCCCTTGCACGGTTCACCTATCAACCTTATTGCTAAATTCGCCGAAGTGGCTGCTTCTGGCGGAAGTGGTGGCTCTTCTGCACCACACCCTAACTTAGACATGTGTCTTGGTTCCGATCGTATTAGCATTTTTGATAGAAGCAAGGTGAGATTGACTCTTTTTGAAACACTTGCGTTAAAAAGAAAATTTTTTTCTTTCTTTTGTTTACTTATATATTCTGTATTAGGACGGCATGTTTTCTGAAGATGAAGATTCGGACGATGGAGATTTATTTTCTTCCAACCTAGGACTGATGTCTTCCCCTGATCGACCTTTCACAAGACATACACTTCTCGAAGATGAGGAAATGCACTCACCACCTCCCTCTGAAATGGCAATGACGGGAAAACGATTTATCTTTGAAGAGGAAGAGGAAGAAGAAGAAGAGGAAGAGGAAGGCGATTATCTTGATTCGGGTAGCTCATGGCTCTCTCAAATCTTTTTCGATAACGACAATGATAGAACAGAGGCACAGGAAGCAAGTCGCAAGGAAAAAGATAATATGGGTGAAGAACAAGAGAATCGACCTCCTCGCTTATGGAGAAGTAAAGCAGAGGAAATAACAAAGTTGTCAGAAAGCAATCATCATGAACGATTACCATTACAAGAGATTCGTTCTTGTTTGGAGGATGAAGAAGCAGGCGATGATTTACATACAAAAAAGAAATCGGTATCATCTTATGGTAAACCCAATAAGATGCGATACATGCGAACATTATCACCTACTCGTCTAAGTCAACGTAAAGAATCTTCTACTCTTCAGTAGTCTTTCCTTTCTCTATTCTTTCTTGCATACCCTGTAAATACTCATTTTCATCCACTCTCTTCCCTCTTATTGTATCCCCCCTTCTTTTTTTTTTTTTTGCTTTTTTTTTTCTTTCTTTTTCATCTAATAAAAAATGTGTCAAGAATGTTTTCTTTTGATCTGCTGCTAAACTCTCCATTTTTCATATTGCTTAGCGTTTTTTATTATTGTTCAGTGAGAGAGAAAAAAAGTGATGACGTCCGAGGCAGTCTGCGATTTCCTTATACCCGAATTCAGGCAGAGGGAAGGGGCGCGTTTATTATTAACTTTTTTTGTTATCTTTGTGTAGTAAAATTAGAATTGGAAGGAATGTTTCTAGAATTTATACGAGAGAGAAACCAGTGATTGAAGCTGTTTAATTCTTCGAGCTCAGTTTCGGTCAAAGTATATTGCTGGCGTTTAAGTTTATGAATGTTAGAAAGCAGAGTGTCAAAATCTATTGAAGAATTGCTTGGAGCGGTGAGAGGAGCTTGTTCAGTTGGAGTAAGAAGAGCTGAGCTATCAGGCGAGCTCTGGGGAATGGTTGAGAAAGTGGGGTCGAAAGAAACTAGTAAAAAAAAAAAAAAATGAAGCCGTAAAGAATTTAATAGTATTTATCTTTACCTTCCAATGCAGACAACCAAGACATATCACACTTCAACAAATACATGTGTTTGCATGCGATATTGTTAAAGCGGAAGTCAGGGTAGCTGCAAGTGATCATTTGTAGATTGTCCACCACAACATCATAACTTACACAAGAAGTTGAGAAAGAAGAAATAACATAACCACTTCTACCAGCAGAATCAGTTCTCGCAGTTTCAATGCCATACAGTGTTCTTTACTACATTTCAAGAGTATTTATTTTGGCTTAAGATATCGGGTTCTTTTTTTTTTTTTTTCAATATAGAATATCTCTTTATATATCCATAAAAATATGACAAAAAAACAAGAGGGGAGCAGGCTACAGATTTTTGATGGGCAAAGCAACCATGGAGCTTCTAAACCGGTTTTTAAAGCTGATGACTACATTTATTCTCGCGTTAGAACAAACGCCATCTAATTTTTAGGTCTTTTGGATGAGCCTTTGGTCCCCAAATAAACTTAAATGTCCAATAAAAACTTTACATATGCCACTTACTCCCGGTCAATCTCTCACTTAATTTGTAAGAGTTTTCGATTCTCGATTTTCAGTCAAATTCACAGTCTCATGTTTACTTTATCCTACAATTATATGATACCATTAGTAAGAACCTGGAAGCTTAAGACAGAGAGTTTTTTCTTCTTCTACAAACAAAAACTAAATATAACTTAAATCCTAGAACCTGAAATTGATCCTGATAGTGATATATCCACAAACACCTCTTTTAGAGCCGTGTAAAGCATACACATCAAATCAAATTCATAAACCTGGTTCCCACCATCACAAGGTAGAAAAACTATTTTTCTCAACTTGTCATCGAAACCCCTTATTATACAAAATGACGTCTCTAACAACATTTGATTTGATATATTATCATTTTTCAACTTATAAAAAAGCCTCTTGAGATTTTTTATTCCTTTGTTCACCAAAAGAAAGGTAAAAATAAGCAAGTATAAATGATACTTAACCTATTTTATTTAATTTTGTAGACAAAGGATCTATTCAAATATCAAAATGTGGTTGTTTACTTTTGAGCTGATCGTGCTGACCTTTGGTTATCTTTTCCTTTTGTACTGCCCAATTTTTTCCTCATGAAAGGTTTTTACTGATGCCGGGATTGGTACCAATACAACATTTATCAATCGGAGGAAGAAAGCAGTCTAGAATTTGGTTTCCGTTACAAACAGTGTCTTACACTGCCACAGGTATGATAATTTTTATATATGTTCTATGCAAAAAGTCAGTCTTACAATTTACTTTATTATTTTAAAGCATTACTTCATGATGTATAGCCTATTGGAGCTGTTCCCCCAGTGTCCAGTGGGTGTTATCTGATTAATTGGTAAGTGATATAACTTTTTTCTCTTTCATATCTGTTTATGTTCATACTAACGCGAAATTTGTATTACAGCTAGCTCAAGACGATGCAAATTACAAGGAAACTTAGAAATGTTTCTATAGCCGCGGTTTCAACACTGTTCGGTCCCATCTTTTTACCAAGTAAAGTCATTCCGCATGAAAAAGCCAAAGGAAAACTCTGACGTCATTCTTTTTTTATTCGGGTAAGATGCGTCGGATGTTGAAACAGAGAGGGTGTAAAGAGGGAAAACCCCAGGTTGTTTTTGTTTTTTTTTTTCTTCTTGCCTCGATCCCATTTATTAAAACATGAACGCCATCATCCGTCGTGCTTATACCACCAAGACCCTTATTCCTCCTAATGTTGCCGCTGCTACCAGACTTTCTGGATCTGCCAAGGATGGACAAATTTCTCAATTAGTTGATTTCTACAAGGTAAAAAGTAGTCCCCCCAGTAAGGAAGGTGAAGGTGTATATTAACGTGTCAAAATTAATAGAAATTGCCCAAGGGTGCTGCCGAGGTTGCCAAGCCCGTTGGTCCTTTCGCTCGTTATAAGGCCGCTTACATTGATGGTGAGAATGCTTCTGTCACTCCTTTGCTTCACCTCATCTTTGGTGTCTTTGCCATTGGTTATACCATTGATTACCAATGTCACTTGAGTAAGTTTTCATATTTCTCTTTTTTTCTTCTTGTTCATTACTGACGTTTTTATAATAGAGCACCACAAGAACGGTAACCACGATTAAGAAAAAAGAAGTTGTCGTTTTATACATATAAAAAAAATCCTTGTTTTTGTTTCATAGCTACTTTATTTTTCTTTCATGTACCGGTAAAAAAAAAAGGATAGAGAGAGGGAGGGTTGCGAGTGATAATGTGTCTGCACATGCTAATGAGGACAGTACACGGATGGTTACACCGATCATGCAGTAAGATCGCCCAACGAGTCAGAGGATAGATGCCTTCTCCTTACTAACCTTTGGGGGGTTGTGCCTGCATTACTCTTTCAACAGTCTAAACTATAAATTGCATGTCTTTAAAAGAAGGGGGGGGATATGTTTATATTGTAGTAATATTAAAAGTTTTATTTGGTGATGGTGGGATAATCGGTATATCCCTCAGCATCGTGTGTGTAAAAAGTACTTCGATCATAAGGTGTTAAGGGGATGTCATTTAAGAGACGTTGAGGAAGATCCGGATTAGCAATAAAGGCACGACCAAATGAGACCAAATTACCTGTTTGTTCAGCTATTTGATACGCATGCTCAACAGATCTGGAGAAACCACCTGACGTAATAAACGGTCCCTTCCAGAGAGGACGATAAGCTTGTAAAGAATCATACACATTAGAGGCTTCACCCATAATATCACCACGTGCTTCGACAAAGTGGAGATAAGCGAGCTTTGGAAATAGCGTTTCAATTTGCGACGTTAAATAAGACCAGGTTTCAATGGGAGAAGCGTCACCCATACCGTGAAAGTTGGCACCAGGAGAGAAACGAATAGCAACACGATCAGGACCGATGGCTTCAACCACCGCTTGGAGAACTTCCAGAGCAAAACGAGCCCGCTTGGGAATAGAACCACCATAGTTATCTGTACGTTTGTTGACACTACTATCGATAAATTGATCAATCAAAAAACCATTGGCGCCATGAATTTCAACGCCGTCAAAACCTGCTTCAATGGCATTCAGAGCAGCTTGACGGAAATCTTGAATGGTCGATGCGATTTCTTTTACCGTGAAAGCTTTGGGTGTTTCAAAAGGAGGGCCCATATAGTTCACACCGGGAATAATAACTTCAGATGCAGAACCTACTTGCTCACTATCAACATGAAAATGCTTAGATCCAGCACGACCTAAATGAACAATCTGCAAGAAAATCACACCGTTTTTGGCATGTACAGCAGAGGTCACTTTTTTCCAGCCTTCGATTTGCTCCGCCGTGTAGATTCCAGGTACATTAGGTAAACCACCACCATAACGACTGATAAAAGTGGCTTCAGCAATAAGGAGTCCACCAGAACTGGCACGCTGTTCATAGTATTCTTTTTGAAGATCCGTAGGTACGGCCTCCAATGTGGCTCGCAAACGTGTTAAAGGGGCAAGTACAATGCGATGTTGAAGTTGGTGTTTTCCTACTTGGATAGGAGTGAAGATGGCTTTGATGGTCATTTATGAAGGTTTTAAAGTTTAATAATAATAATAAAAAAAAAATTAGGTGAAAGTTTGGGTTTTATATATGCATAAATAAGCTTTTTTTGGGTTGCTGAATAATGGTGCAAATCAAAGATAAAGTTTACTGTGACAGTGACGTTTTACCCCTTTATTAATGCCGTGGATTGATTACCAATGAATTTATAATCAAGGGATTTTAAGCGCCACATATGTAGACGGGTCAGCAGTTTCATAAATGTCGAGAAAAACAAGGTTCGGTTGATGGGCAACAATTTATCCGAATAATCCATTTGGTATCACAAAGCCTTTTTTTTTATTTTTTACACTATTTTCAGAAAATATTAGATTTGTTCACAACGTAAAAAATTATGTTCATCTCCCGAAACAAGATTGGTTCAAAGACCTTTAAAAAAAATTTGAGCTTACCACTTAAGTGTATCTATGGTCGACCTGCGATAATAGGCATGGAAAATTCTAGTTGCGACGTTGACGAACATTTCTAATGTTTGCTTGATCATTTGGGTCCTTATTCTTCTCCGTTGGTCCTGGGGAGCCTCTCCACGTCGAAATTTTGCTGCGGTAATGCCGTTTCCAGCACGAAGTGAATGAACAATATCAACCATGTTCAAGCAAGCAACCATATCACAATTCCATAGACGAGGAACAATCCTATTTGTGCTATTAGTCATGGCTCTTCAATTTCGATTTGTACATCTGTCACAGGAACAAAAAAAAAATTATCAGATAGAAAAATTATTAACAAGTAAAATCAACATACCTTAAGAGACCATGTCTAATTACACGATGATTTACTCTTCGTCTATGAGGGCGCGGGTTATCGACCATCCGAAACATTTCAAGACTTCTACGTTCACAGGCTGGGCAGCGCTGACTTGTTCTAAATTCATCAATCAAGTACACCCTTTTACCAGCTTTTTGAAGCAACCGACAGAATCCAAGACCCCGGAACGGCTCACAAAATCATGTATTAGGAGCAGACCAGTTACCCATGACACTTCGACACCAAACTGTTCGTCTAGTTTTGCAATAAGATCCTCGTTTCCTTGCTGTCTTCTAAAAAAGGCAGATAGCTGCAGTTTTTTGTGCAAGGGATGAGCAGTACGATGGTTGGTTTAGAAGTTGACATAGTGTTTTTGGATGATGCCTGTCATATTAGACCTGTTTACAAGATACTGTTCAAATTCATCTCAATTCAAGAAATCGTTATTAATTAAAAGCCTTTCAGCGGCTGCTAATCTAGCGGGTTTCACAGCTTCATGGATTCGACGTCATTTTTTAATCTTTTTAAACTTGTCTTGGTACAGTTTGGTGAAGCAAAGCTTATTTGTATTGTTTGCAGTTGAGTTTTCATGCACACAGAATAACAAATCTTTTCGTCCAGGATCAATCGTAACACATCTTCCAACAGTTTCTTGAGCAATTTCTTGTGAAATGTACTGAGTTGGTTCCACCACCACAGCAAAACGAGCAGTGTATCTGCTTTCACGATCCATTATTTTCTTAATCACAGTAAAGCCTACTCCATCCGTTTGAATAGCTTCTCTAAACTGGAGCTCGCCATCTTCTTGGTGTTCAAGTGCATCCAATTTTAGCTTAATTACTTCACGCCAAAGTGCTATCTTATCTTGACGATTAGTCCACCGATGACCAAGAATATTTTGATAAAGAATTTTTGAATTGATGGTTGTGTAGAAAGGAGTCCAAGAGCGGCGTAATGGGAAGCAATTAAACACAGGTAATCCGATATCAATAAATGATATTAGGCAGCTCTTAAAAAGACCGCATATGTTCAATTGTTCTTGATTTGGAATTGTAATACATGCTATTCCCACGAAACCGGTAGTCAACGGGATAACTGGCTAGGACATGGCGAAGAGTTTCAAGAGCGATATTGTCGATAGGGTCCTGGAACTGCTCTTGGTCCAGTACAAAATTTTGAGGTAACCTTCTAGTTATAAGTTTCTTGAATCTTGTCGCCGGCTCAGATTTTATCAGTGCATCAATTAATCCTTCACGTCTTCTATCAGCAATTAATTCGAATTTTCTTTGTCGCATACGAAGTAGATGGTCAACAGCTTGTCTAAGATGACTTCCCAAACGCATCTGAACATTGTTGCTATAAGCTGTAAAGATCTTTGCTCCTTCGATTAAAGATGTTTGCTGACCATAACGGAAATCTGGTGGAACAAAACCAGTGGCCTCTAAATAGTCATCAAGATAAGTGTCAATGAATGCACGAGTCGTCGTAGTTCTTCCGCTAGCCCTTCCTCGTGCATAACGAGTCAGTTTGAGCCACACCTCGGCAAAAAAAAAAAAAAATCACGATTGATAAATTGCCTGATATCAAAGTTCTCGTCTTCTTAAATGTCACATAAAAAAATGTTTGTGGACTGTAACTACATATTCTTCGAGCATTTCACGTCGCTCTGGGTCCCAACCAATACCATCAATAGAGGACTTAACAGATATGATACGATTGCCAGGAGCCAAAGAACTAGATGTACTCATATTGCTTCCAGGTTTACCCGGCGTTCCAGACAAGGTTCTATCAGAGCCCATGCTGGTAAAAGAGGGCAGTTATTTGAAGTAAGAAGTTTGCTATAATAAAATGTTAGATAAACGTCATTCAATTATGGATTGGTTGTTACAATATTTATCTTTTACGTATAAAGTGTTATGAGTTTGAAAATAAAAATAGCTATACGTAAAATAATAATGAAAGAGAAAAATAAAAATTGAAGTAAACTTTTCTATCGACTATTTATAAGATTTCATTTGTGTTGTGATTGATTAAATGTAAGAAAAACAATAAGATCACTGAAATTTGCATGAAGCAATAATAAATTCACCTTTTCTAGCTCTTATTTTATATCTATCTCTTTTGAAAGAAGGCATATACCTCATATTCATTGTAGAAAAATTTAGATTGCTCAAAAATTATACGAAAGCAAACGGAAAATAATTGTGTCATTCAAAGTAAAATAAAAATTGCTTGGAATTAATAGGTAGCTAATTCCAGATACCCCCAATACATACAATAAAATAAAACTCTATTTCAAATAAAAGTGTAAATGCCATGTACTTGTCTGAGCGTTTTTAGGTCTTTTGTTTGTAGTTTGACAAAAAAACAAGTTACCTTTTCAGGGTGTCAGGTAAGGAAGGAAGTCTGGTGCATTCATATACTTATCCACTTATACACTCGTTACCAATAAGTGTGTCGTTAATGACGAGGTAGTTGTATTTAATTTACTCTTGGTAACGCAGCACATCTAGAGTGCTGACAAGAGAAAAATAAATGGGGGTGGGGTGGGAGTAGGGTTTGCTACCCCTCTCCCCCCTAATGGGTGAAGAACAGCAATATCAAGTTTTGCTCGTTTGTGCGTATCAAAATAGACTTAAAAAGAAAACAATAATTATTTGGTTTGAACCCAATCGTTCAATTTTGAAGTGCAAGCTCAAACTGGTTAGTCTTTGGGGTGAAGTGACATTAAATGAAGGTTATATTATACGCATACAATAGGGAACTTATCCGGGTCTTTCGATTTGATGAAACATTGTTCTTCTACTTTAGCAGTATATCCGTTTAATGATAACAGATATATTTCTCTTTCGTTCATTTCGTTTGCAAACTGTGCATGGAAAATTAATTAATTTTTAAGCGATTATTTATTCCATCGCTGATTGAAGCTTTATTCTAAGCGTGCAAGAATAAATTATGAAAATAGTGTATATCAGTTGTGTCGTGAGTTCATTATGTCATCAATCGGCTAATCAACGATTGTAACCTAATACACATAACCAACTGCAGCAATCGTATCAACTACCTTACGAACCAATACAGTTGTAGTTACTCCAGATTGACAATTGTAAAACATATAAATAGCTTCAATTATTGTTCTATAAAACAAGATAGACAGTTTATAAAAAGAAAAAAGGTAGTTGTGAGACTGGGTAAATTGAGTATCGTTTTATTTTTAAATTAAAGGATGGTTTATATAGGAGTTGACAAAGTCCTTTCGGTACTTGTCAATTAATAGAGCAGGCTGAGAGAATGATTTATAATGTGAACATATTTCAGTAAGCATGTGTGGACCATGCGTGCACTGTAAGCTGTGGTCTTATTTATAAGTTGTTTTTATCATTTGTTAATGCAGATGTTGCGTGTAAACCGCGTGTACGTAAGGTGACACAAAAATAGCTATTTCGAGTTTCTTCGCTAAAGTAACTCACAAAATAGTGCTTGTATACACTACGGGATATTTGGGTATACACTACGGGATATTTGGGTATACACTAATAGACAACAAACAGCAACAAAAAGCGGAGAAAATACGACAGAGAATAGAACAGCTTTTAATACAGATGGTTCATTTTCTTATAGAGTTAAATAATAAAAACGGTAATACAATGGGCAAAAATGTTAATTCGTGATATGCTTTCATCTATTTGGCAAGAGGAAGAAAATACAATGGTTCATTTAAGCATCAATGCAAAATCTCGCGTGAAGGGACTTTTATTGACATACGTTACAATCAATATCAGGCGCATCTTTTGGACTAGTTTCTCAAAACACTCAACATGTAAAAAACACACTTTGTCTAACAGAAACTAATTTTTTTATTTTATTCTTTTATTTTTTGGATCATGCGCTGAATATATTTGTTTGCCCAACTTTTAGACAAAAATCGACATATCTCGGCAAGGAAACGGAATTACACCGTCGGACATGCACCAAAATGATCGTCGCACTCGCGCGCGGAGTTTGAAAGGGGAGAAACTGAAATATAAATTGCAAAAGAGAAAATGTATATACCACCCCTCTTTTTCCAAATATAGTAATTACCACCCCTGTTCGGTCGCACCGGACAGTAGATGTCCGGTGGAAGTGGATCACTTAATACGGATTTATTAGGCTCAATTGTGGATCACTTTATACGCATTTATTAGGCTCAATTGTGGATCACTTTATACGCATTTTTTAGGCTCATTGTTGGATCACTTAATACTAATTTTTTAGGCTCATGTATAGTGTATTTTTGGATCACTTAATACTTAGTTTTTAGGCTCATGTACAGTGTATTTTTGGATCACTTAATACCTATTTTTTAGGCCTATGAACCAGGTCCGAATAATTGTTTGAGGAGGGGCGGGGGGGATTTAGGTACCATTTTGCTTTTTCCATTTTACAATTTACAACGATTATATAAATAAACAATCAAGAAAGTATTGCTGAAGGCGAGAGTCTTATTGTTCCTAAAAGAGTAGAAGTAGCCCCAAGAAATCCTTTAATCGAGATACTCTTCATAAAATTGAACCAGTCAAAGAATGAAGTATCACTTGAGGAAGTTGATGTCAAAGATGTTGATGACACATTAATTAAAGACAAGTTGACATGTGGTAAGTGCCATAAGACGTTCAACTCGAGATCATCCCTGATCAAGCACTTGAAGGTCAAACACCATGTTGTAATCGTTGGTGTCAAGCATGGCGG